TGAACTAAAATTTATCCAATATAAAACCATGAATTCATTCCAAATAATTTCCATTACTATTGACGACTTCTGCCCATTTTACAAGCGATTTGCGGATTCCTCTTTCATGGTAGGATTTTGGTTTGTGTGTGAGACAAGTGTGAGACTCAAAATGGGAAGACTGGAGATGTCCCAGTTTGAGTAGTTGAGCACTTTCTTCAAAGAAACCCATTTTGGTGTCAATAGAAAAGTTGTAAGAGAATCAAAAAAGTAGGCTTATAGCCAAATTTCCAAAAAGATACACTCAGTAGTTTCGCTTAAAATGCTAGTTTTGCGAAAATTCGTAAATTTGGCATCTCTTGAAAAGCAGTTTTTGAATCGTTCTGAAAATTTGGATATAAGCTTCACTTTTGATTCTCTACAACTTTTCCATTACCACCAAAATTGGTTTCCTTTTGAAGAAAGTGCTCAAACTGTCACAGATGACAATAGCCCGCAGTTTTCAATTCACCAACCCAATACATTAAAAATGGATGAAACTGAATCGTGATTGGGTTCTCTTATGTTATCTCTTGCCTTATTTTCTCTCTGATTTGCTTTTCTTATTACACTTGATCGCTATAAATCTGAAAATTCGTTTTAAACTGAACATTTTGAATATTTACCTCCATCTAATCTTGGGATTTAAGTTTTAACTCAATAATTTACATTTTGAATTAAAAAAACATTAATCTTAATGAAATTTTCCTTTAGGATAAGGATAATTTGGTTTTATCGGAGACGGGCACCCGATCGATTAATCAAACGATCGACAAAATCAGGACAATCATCGAGGAGAAAATGGAAAGTGATGCTAGGGTAGGGAAAAAATTTGAGCTATCATTATTGAAATGACCAAGAGGATTTGGGAAACATTTAGTGCTCGTTAGGGAAAGGCACGAACACAAGGTGAGCTTTTGTCTGGACCGCAAAATGCAAATGAGCAACAAAATGGGCAGCAAAATGCTAGAAGTTACTCCAAAAGAAAAACAAAAACAAAAGCTACATCATGGGCTAAACTCGATGCTTTGTGAAGCTTAAAGTGCTATCCACTCGGCCAACCACGTACTTCCTCTTCGTTAGGAGAGGAACCTTTAAAGCAAACGTAAAAGGCAATTTTCGACTGAAGTTTTATATCCCAGGAAAGTCATTTGGCAGTTTTTGATTTCAGATTCGGATTCTTCATACCCGATTCTACAAAGTGCACTAGGTTTTCAAACAAAAGCTCATCTTGAGTTCGGGCCTTTCGTTAGTGAGGGTCGGAGTCGATTCCAGGGTCCATTGTCGAGGCCAAGGAGCAGCTCACCTCAACCCCAGTGCTTTAAAGAATAATTGAAGCAACGTAGTATAAGGAAATCCAGTCGAATCTACTATAAAGTGTCGGTCCGTCTGTCCGTCAGTCACACTCCGGATCTCGGCTTCACATGAACCGATTCACATACCCGATTCTAGATGTCCAGACAAAAGCTCACCTTAGCTTTGTGCCTTTCCCTAGTCACTTCAAATCGTTTATAGTACTTTAACGTACATGCTGCTTTTTAAGCAAAAGGGGATTTCTAGAAAGAGAAAGGAAAATATTCGCTACCCAGTGGACTCCTTTTTATATCTCAAATTATTTGAAACCGAAAGTTTTCCACTTGAATGTTTGAGTCGGGGAAAGTAATACAGGGTGCGTCATAATTATTGCAACAAGATACTCAAGGCATTGCACACCAAGAAGTTTCACTGGAAGAAGATTTTTAAACAGAAATAGCTTTATTTAACAGTAACAAATAAGGAAACAAGAGATCATTCGATATGATCGTCTTTTGCCTTGATAACAGCCCTTAATCGGTTCGGATATGCCTCCACTGCGGCCCGAATGTCATCTTGAGGAGTCGCCTTCCATCCTTTGGTCAAAGACTTCTTCAAACAATCCAAACTTGTGTGTTTTCGAGAGCAGACATTAGCCTCTAAGATTGCCCAAATGGAAAAGTCCATCACATTGAGATCCGGTGCGTTTGGAGGCCATTCATCCTTGGTGATCACTGAGGGAAAGTTGGCCACACACCAGTCCTGAACCGTCTTCTTCATGTGAGCGGGAGGCAATTAGGCAAGAATAAAGAAGATAGAACGCAACACAACAAAAAAGGGGGCAAAAAAATAAGAAAGCTGTTTGGAAAACGGTCTTTGAACTCTTGTTGCAATAACTATGACGCACCCTGTAGTTTTAATTTTAACGATATTGGCAATATCTTTCAATTGTAATTTTTTTTAAAAACCTACTCTTTAAAACATTTAGAAACTCGAAAACCCGCTGGAAATCCCGGATTTGGAAAGAATGAACGCAAAAGAGAGGCGAATTTACAAAGAAACGAGGACATTGGAAGAGAAATTGAAGCTCGTTGAGAAACAGGTTTGTTTTGAAAGTTAGAAAAGTTTTTTGAAAGCAAAAAAAAAACTACTAATGCGCTTTAGTATTAGTGTATAAATCTTTCTCTAAAAATCTTCAATTGTAGGGTTTTTTTAGATGCACAAAACCACGAACGACATTCGACAGAAAGCGCTCGATGAGGGACAAGCGGTAAGAAAAGATTTTATATCAAAAGAAAACATTGATATTCAGAATAATATTAGGTTGAGCAAAAAGTAATGTCGGTTTTTTGTCACAGACAATAAACAAACTGTCACAGACAATAAACAAACTGTCACAGACAGTTTGTTTATTGCTAAAAACATAAACAAACGCACATCAATCAATGAGATATTCTCCATTATAATTGATGATTTGTTCCCATCTTCGTCGCAAGTCCCTGATCCCATCTTCAAAAAAAAAAATGGCGAGTTTTCGAGCCAAAATAAGTGTCGACTGCTTTTTTTGTTCTGTACATGATTCTCGAGCTTTTCTCCCATAAGAAAACTCTTCAATGACCGAAACAAAAATAATCTGATGGAGCCCGGTTCCGAAATAACTGGAAAATCGCCAACAACGGGAATTCAAAACCGACATTACTTTTTCCTCAACCTAATAGGAACATTCGTTACACCTTTAATTGATTCAATCAAGAATCGTTGACGGATAATTGATTCAATAAAGCCAGACTACTTAGACTCTTTCAAAAGTGAAACTTTAAATATTAAAATGGACAAATTTGTGTTTTAACCAAAAATGAACAAAAAAAAAGGCAAAAAAGCAAAAAAAGCAAAAAAAAAAAGCACATTTGAAAACATAAATTGAGGTCTTTTCTGAAGCTCTTTGAGCTCTTTTGTTTAGACCAATTAAACGTTTCCAGTTTTTAATAAAATAAAATACTTAATAAAATAAGTAGCTTTACCACTATGCTCGAATTTTTCACATCAATTTTTAGCCTTAAATTTGACTACCGTATTTCTTCGAATAGAAGACCGGGTAAAGAGTATCATCGCGTACTCCTGCGTAGCAGCCCTTTCTAAAATTTCTTTTTTGCATAAAAGCTTTCAATCAAGTGCTATAGAGCTGGAAAATGACTCAAAAATCTGTTAGCTCATGTGGTATTTTTGAGCCATTTTCCAGCTCTATAGCACTTCATTGAAAGCTTTTATGCAGAAAAGAAATTTTAAAAAGGGCTGCTACGCAGGAGCGCGCGATGATACTCTTTACCCGGTCTTCTATTCGAAGAAATACGGTATATTCTTTGTAGTGCTTTTTAAAGAATTTTCTAAAATAAAAAATAAATTTAGCAATTGTTTAAAACTATTGATTCAATCAGAAATAAGATTTAAAATTTAAACAAATGAAAATTGTTTGGAAGTGGTGATTTTTTGGAATCTAAATCTTTATCACAAACCTTTAGCCATTCATCGAAGGTGACACAGCTCGGGCTCTTTCGTGGATGATCGCGAATATGACAAGGGAATTGGAGGGACACGAGCTACCGATTGTTGACATCATTCCGTTAGAGGTAAATGCTTGGTGAAAGTAAAAGAAATTAGTCAGTCAACTCCTTAGCCAATTCTTTAGTCAATTCTTTAGCCAATTCCAAGCCAATCCCAACCAAAAATCAAGCATTCAATAGTATTTTCTTTTTAAATCTCATCGAATTGATTCCAGAAAGTCACCGAATCTTTGGACGAGACAAAGACGAATAAAATCAGCGGTGAAGCAAAGGGAAAAGAGGAAATCACGCAAAAAGTGGGTTTTCAATTTGTAATTTCAACTTTGGAAACAGGTAAACCCTGGTTTTTTTGAGTAATAAAACCAAAATAGATAAAAGTCTTATTAATTTGAAAAATTTATTTTCAAGTTTATTGGGTACAAGCGTCATCCCTACCAATTAATTATCCGTAGTTTCCTGCGAAAAAAATGTACCTAAAACACGCCGGGGTGCACTACTATTAGAGAAAATACGGTATCTATTTTATTTGAACTCTATTTTATTTGAAAATCCAACCCGTCGACATAAAAGAAGAGGTTTGAATTCATTTGAAAAATCAAGTTTCAAATTGTTAATGATTCAAATAGCAATGCGTTTCGTAATAATCGATCCGGATTTGCTTTCTTGTCTTTTTGGCATTTCCTATTACCGTATTTTCTCTAATAGTAGTGTACCCCGGCGAGCCGAGTTGGTGACTATTTTACGGTTTCCAAGCTTTTGCAGAAGTTCAACCCTCTAATCCCTCACTAGATCTCATCGTCAGCTACATTTTCCGACCCCACATCGATAGGTTCTGATAAGCGGTTCTCGAGATTTAGAGAAATTTAGGCGACGCTCAGGGTGCACAACTATCAGAGAAAATACGGTATTAGGTTTTTTTAAACGTTTTGCTCTCAAATTCTTCAATACTCTCACACAAACGTTTTTTTCGACGGTTTTTTATTTATTCTTTGTTGAGCCATAGTTAAATAGCTAAAAATGACCTTTCTTCAAGTTCTGATGTGCTTAGAAATCGACAAACATTGGCACGTACTCGTTTAATAATTTAGGTTTCAAACTTATTAAGTAAAAAAAAAAACGAATTTCCAATAACAATGCTAGTATTAGGTTAGTATCATTGCTCGTTATTTCTTTTTTTATTACCAAGTTTTCTTCAGACAAACGTTGAATCGCTAAAATGGAAAAGTGTTAAGTGTTTCATTTTAGGTTTTTAAAAACAAATTTTGGCTTAATATAATGCAAATTTGGAAGTAAAGTCTTAGAAGAGAAAGATAAAGAAAAGTCAAATCGTTCAAATAATGCTCAACTATTGCTTAAATCTCGCTCAAATCGCTCAAATGTCGCTCAAATATTGCTCGAATCGCCCAAATCGCTCAAATATCGCTCAAATATCGCTTAAATCTCGCTCAAGTCGCTCAAATCGCTCAAATATCGCTCAAATATTGCTCGAATCGCCCAAATCACTCAAATCTCGCTCAGCTCTCGCGCAAATCGCGCAAATCGCCCAAATCGCTCAAATCTCGCTCAAATCGCTCAAATATCGCTCAAATCTCGCGCAAATCTCGCTCAAATCTCGCTCAAATCGCTCAATTCTCTTTTAATTTTGACAACTCGCCTTCTTGCCTCTTGAAATTTCTCAAAATAAGCGCTTTTTTAAAACATTTGAGAAGAATTTTGTTGAAAAAGATAGGGTTTTTCAATAAAAAAAACCGTTTATATTTTGGTCGATTCACCGTTTCTAAAACGATCAATAAAGAGAGCATACAAACGCATAGTACTAAACCTAATAGAAAACTAACCAACTAACAACACAAGTAGAAACAAATTTCATTTAAGCCACAGTAGAGCCGTTAGTTGAAATTTTCAGATCGCCTCCGATACGGTAAACGTCGAATTCGTCGATCCGAATCGTTCCAAAGAGGCGCCGATTTACAACAAAGCGCCAACCGTTTTTCACCAGGTTTTTTTCAAAAAAAAAACAAATTTAAATTGATATCAAAGATCTAAATCTATTAAAAAACTCGATATCTTAATAATTAGAAAAGCTGAAAAGAAAAGAAAATAAAACAAAATCGAAGAAATCGAAAACTCAACATTGAAAACACAAAAGTTTACGTCAAATTAAAAAATTTTTAAACGAAAAACTTCAATTCTTAAATATATTTAGCTAAAATATTCAAGATTATAAAAAGAAACAAAAATTAAGTTTTAAATCTGTCAAATAATAGAGTAAAAACTGTGCAATTAGTTTTTGGTAATTATTTTTTTTCGCATCCTCCCAATTTCAGCCCCTCTTCAAAGCTTTCTCCAGCAAAATCAGCCAAGATGGGCCGATCGACTTGGATTTGATTGTGAGCTTTTTAAATTACTTCAAACAATTTGTTAACTTTTGTTGATTTAAAAAAAAAAGAAGCGTCACACAAAGAAATTGGAAAATTGCTTTGTCTCTTATACCTGAAATTGAGTGTGATTGAACTGTGAACCGTATTCTTCTAAATTTGGATCCTTATCTCTCCAATTTGGTTTCTTATCTCTCCGAATTTGGTTTCTTATCTCCCCTATTTGGTTCCTTATCTCTCTAAATGGGTTCGTTATTCTTCTAAATTTGGTTCCACATCTCTCTAAATTTGATTCCTTTACTCTCTGAATTGGGTTCCTTATCTCTCTGAAGTTGGTTCCTTATCTCTCTAAATTTGGTTCCTTATCTCTCTAAATTGGGCTCCTTATCTCTCTAAGTTTGGTTCCTTATTCTTCTAAATTTGGTTCCTTATCTCTCTAAACTTGGTTCCTTATCGCTCTAACTTTGGTTCGTTATCTCTCTAAATTTGGTTCCTTATCTCCCTGAATTGGGTTCCTTATCTCTCTGAAGTTGGTTCCTTATCTCTCTCAATTTAAAAAAAGATACTTTATTCAACATGAATAAGTGGATACAACACAACGGAGGACACAATTTTTACCCCTACAATGTAGTTAAGAAAAAACCCAACTTAATGGGAAAAAGAACACACTTGATTTTGCCAGCGAGATCGAAATCTCGACCTTCCGATTAGGAGACAAGACTCCTAACCAGTCGGGTTTGGTTTTGGTTCCTTATCTCTCTATTTGGTTCCTTATCTCTCTAAATTTGGTTCCTTATCTCTCTAAATTTGGTTCCTTATCTCTCCATTCGATTCCTTAACTCTTAAATTTTTAGTGTGCAATTTCATTTCATTTAATTGATTCATTTGATTCATTTGAGTTAAACAGTCTGATTTGACAATTTGATAAAAACAAATTGGTATTAACATGGTAACAAATTGGTATTTTCATTAGATCAAAAAGTTCGCATCGAATTAAAACTAACGCTCGATTTCTTGTAGCCATTGAGATTGAAAGACGCAAATTTCTTTCCAGGAAATGACAGCGAACAAATTGGAGCGATTGGTCAATGAGGATACAAAAGTTCGTTCATTGTTTCTCTATTAGATTAACAAGAAGATCTTTGCACAGATTTGAACTAGTATTTCATAAAAACGAATCCACCAATTCAAGAACACTTCTTTCTATCATTTACAAGTCAACTCCAAGAAAATTACTCGTAAAAAAATGAGTGCAACTTTCCCTGAATCACTGTGAAATCACTGTGAAATCACTCAAATCACTGAAATCACTTTTCGAAAAACTTTCTAAGTCTAATAAGTTCAAATTTAAAGTTTATTCAAAATCTCTTCTCTTTCAGCTTGTTAACAAATGGCCTCTCGACACGAGTAACAAAAGAAAACCGAGTGTTATCAGTGAGTTTGAATTTTTTGAATTTCAAATGAAGTTTTAAGTCAAATTTAATTCACCAAAAACAAATGAATTTCATTGTAGATTGTTAGACATTGTGATACTTCTTGAAATCAAAAAATTTGCGACTTTAAATCCTAAAGCATTGTATGCTTTAGGAAGTACTTCACTGGTTTCGATTTTCACTGGTTAGCGTAAAGAAGTAAGGGAAAAATCCAATGTTGATTTGGTTTTGATTGGTGTACTGGTTTGATTGGTGTACTGATTGTACTGATTGTATTGATTGTATTGATTGTACTGATTGTACTGATTGTACTGATTGTACTGATTGGTGCAAAAAACAAATGGATTTCATTGTAGATTGTTAGACATTGTGATACTTCTTGAAATCAAAAAAATTTGCAACTTTAAATCCTAAAGCATTTACTTTTACTAGCATCATCATTCACTTGAACTTTAAACCTAAAACAATTTTAGAAAATCGAAAGCAGTACATCAACCAGTACACCAATCAAAACCAAATCAACATTGGACTTTTCCCCTACTTCTTTACGCTAACCAGTGAAAATCGAAACCAGTGAAGTACTTCCTAAAGCATACAACGGGGAAAATGCTTTAGGATTTAAAGTTGCAAATTTTTTGATGTCAAGAAGTATCACAATGGTACAATCTACAATGAAATTCATTTGTTTTTGTACACCAATCAGTACAATCAGTACAATCAGTACCAATCAGTACAATCAGTACAATCAGTACCAATCAGTACAATCAGTACACCATTCAGTACAACCAGTACAATCAGTACAACCAGTACAATCAGTACTATCAGTACACCAATCAGTACTATCAGTACACCATTCAGTACAACCAGTACAATCAGTACTATCAGTACACCAATCAGTACAAGCAGTACACCAATCAGTACAACCAGTACACCAATCAAACCAGTACACCAATTAAACCAGTACACCAATCAAAACCAAATCAACATTGGACTTTTCCGCTACTTCTTTACGCTAAATCACTTGAAATTTCCTTTTTTACAACTATTTTATTAGCTAAAATTGAACCATAGCAACACAAACAAATAAATTCAATTGAGCATAGGCAAAATTTAGAGATAATCATTAATCTTTTTCTAATTTTGTAATTCGTCTTATTTTCAGTCAAATGGAAATGGTCAAGATGGTCGGAATGGTCGGAATGCGATTGTGGTGTGCAGAAAAGGAAACGGTAAGCAAAAAGCTTTTAAGAATTTATTTTCATTTGAAATGACTTTTTAAAGTTTAAGTGACTTTTGAAATTTTAAGTGACTTTTGATTTTGATATGATTTTTCGGGAATATTTTTTCATTTCAAATTCTCCGAATTTCAGTGTATGCATCGCCAAACGGAGTCGCAAGTTGAGCGATGTTTTTGACGAGAATGGGCAGCGAAAACGGTAAGAGTTTGGAATCAAAATTCGAAATATTCATATTCTATATAAATTTAATCAATCACTAGCATGGAAATTTATCACTTGATTCGTTCAAAAGTGGAACTCAATCTTTTTTTGCAAGGGTTGTGCGGAAAAAAAGATTTCTCAAATTTGCAAAGGAACCTCTTTATATTTCTAGACCTATATCAGGCTTGACTCAAAAAAATTTTGAATCTTTACTTCGAGATATTACACTTTCTTCTTAAAATCCATTTTCAATCAGCATTTTTCAATTTTAGCACACCATTTCAAGTATTAGCCTTTCCAGAAAGTCTGTTTATTTCTTTTCGTACTTTCGTTGAAAAATAGCAAATATTCACCAATTAACCTATCGTTTTCTCTAAAGAAAAAGCATTTATTGTTCAATTTCCAATCTTTTTAAGTCAATTCGGTTCACTTTCTTTTTATATATATGTTGTGTCTGATTTAGATTTCCGTCCGATTTAGATTGAATCTAAATCGGACGTCCGATTTAGATTGAACTTATCGCGGACGTCCGATTTAGATTACAGTCTATATCGGACGTCCGATTTAGATTCAATCTAAATCTTATATGGATTGAACAATAATATAAACATGCTTAATATATGTTCTTAAGCGTTTTCTGTAGTTTTCTGCATTTTTCAAAGGTCTTTTATTGACTACAGTCTATATCGGACGTCCGATACAGATCGAACAATAATAAACGTGCTTAACATATGTTCTTTGAAAATTTCTTTGAAAAGCGCAGAAAATTGCAAAAAAACGCTTAAGAACATATATTAAGCACGTTTATTATTGTTCGATCTGTATCGGACGTCCGATATAGACTGTAATCTAAATCGGACGTCCGCGATAAGTTCAATCTAAATCGGACGGAAATCTAAATCGGACACAACATATATACTTTATCCGACAAGGAAAAGTGACAATGCAAACAGATTGAACAGCGTAGACGAAGAAAGATAATTGATATACAAACACAACTACAATTAGACACGTGTATATATGACATTAAAAACTAATTTAAAATTGACACAGCTACAAGATCGAGCTTATATATTGAGGATTTAAAATAGTTCAGAGACGAAAAAATATCACAAGGTAACTTATTCCAAATACGAGGAACACGACAAGCAAAAGAATGATACAGTTGGCGGTTATGAAAGCCTTTCCAGAAAGTCTGTTTATTTCTTTTCGTACTTTCGTTGAAAAATAGTAAATATTCACCAATTAACCTATCGTTTTCTCTAAAGAAAAAGCATTTATTGTTCAATTTCCAATCTTTTTAAGTCAATTCGGTTCACTTTCAAGCAAATTCGAAAGGGAAAATCGTGTTTCTCGCAAAAAAAACTATAAAAGCCTCTACGAAGAAATTGATTGAATGAATTTCTCTGAAAATTAGGCTACCTACCAAACTTTTTGTGCTCAATCTTTTATCTATTGACACGAAGATAGGTTTCCTTAGCTAAAGTGTCTAAAGAGAATCATCGAGTCGACTCTTTGACTACCCAACTTTATGCTTCCAAAAAAACCAAGCCATAAGACAATTTGAACCTGTTTTAATGTTAGTTTGCAGAAAAATAATTGGCCTTTCAAATTAAAAAAAAATCGTAGTTCAATTGGTGTATTTGTTGGTTTTAAACGGAAGTCAAATTTGGGTTCCGCAAATTCTTTCAAGCAAATTCGATAGTTTATTTAAAGATTTCAAGTGAATAACGATAATGATCAAGTTTGTTTTTTTTTTTGAGTTTTGAAAATCATTTGAAACGGTAAAGCCTCGAATTTCTTTATAAATTAGTTTTCTTTTTTGATTGAAAACGCTACTTTAGCTATATACTAAACTTTTTATGCTCTATCTTTTATTTAATGACACGAAGATAGATTTCCTTAGCTAAAGTGTCTAAATCGAATCATCGAGCCGTCTTTTTGACTATCCGACTTCATGCTCTCAAAAAAAATCCAAACATAAAACATTTGAAACCCGTTTTAATCTTATTTTAAAGAAAAATAGTTGGTTTTGCTAATGAAATAAACCGTAATTTAATTGGTGCATTTATTGGTTTTAAACGAAAGTATGAAAAGAAACGAAAAGAAACGAAAAGACTTTCTGGACTAGAGTGTGCTCCTTGTTGACAAACAATTTGCCAGACAAATTTTCATTGACAGCTTTTTTGTCAGACAATTGATCCGACAAACTTCCGACAACGCGTTTTCTAAAAGGTGCGCTTTTTAAGCAAAGCTATAAAGGTCGCGCGAAAAAAATTTGCAAACTTTTCTTAAAATATAGTAATGGATAGTTTTATTTAAGGATTTAGGTTTTTTAGGGCGTGCAATTTTTTTTTGGAATGGTTCTATTGCAAATGTAGACAATAGGCCTGGTAAATTCGTAAATAATATAATTTTTTAATAGTGTTTCTTAACTTTTCCCGTTTTAAATGTTTTCTTTAATTTTAAATAGCATTTAAAAATTTTTAATTTTTAGCGAAAGAGTAATAGAGTTAAGGAAAGAGTAGTAGAGTTAAGGAAAGGGTAATAGAGTTAAGGAAAGGGTAATAGAGTTAAGGAAAGAGTAATAGAGTTAAGGAAAGAGTAGTAGAGTTAAGGAAAGGGTAATAGAGTTAAGGAAAGGGTAATAGAAAAAAAGAGCGCAAGATTTTAATGAACATGTGTATTTTGAAAAATTTTCTGATGCAAAGCATAGGGTTACGGTAGCTTGGCGCGCGCTTTTTAGAAAACGCGTTGTCTGCAAGGAACACACTCTATCCTGGACAGCCAAACAACCACCAAAGCGATCCAGCGTAAAGAATAAACAAATTTTTTCGTTAAAACGACCCATCCTTTATGCACTTTAATAGAATTTTTATATTTTTTGATTGTTTTTTCAAGGATTTTAAGTAAAAAAAATGTTTTTAACATCTATGGTCAAATATGAAAAAAAGCATGTTTCAAAATATTTTACGTAAAACAAGGGTCGCAGAAATTAATGAATTAGTGCATTGCAATTATCATTTCTGCCACAATTTTCATTTGTTTCCTTGTTAATAACGAAATCTATTAAATTTGGAGTTTGTTAAACCCTTTGAAATTCCAAGAAAAACAATCATCCGGCTCTTTTTGACTACCCGACTTCATCAGCTCCCAAAAAGATCCAGAAATAAGACATTTTCACCACGTTTTAATTTTATTTTGCAGAAAAATAATTGGTTCTTCTAAGGAAACAAACTGTTTTCAATTGGTGCATTTATTGGTTTTAAACAAAAGTACGAAAAGGAATGAAAAGACGTTCTGGACAGCCGAACAAATTTCTTTTTGCTATTAGACTATCGTCGTAGCCGACCGGATAGAAGTCTTGTCTTCTAGTTCAATCCTAGCTAAGGGTTCAATCCTAACTAAGGGTTCAATCCTAGCTAAGGGTTCTATCCTAGCTAAGGGTTCAATCCTAGGGTTCAATCCTAGGGTTCAATCTTAGCTAAGGGTTCAATCCTAGTTAAGGGTTCAATCCTAGCTAAGGGTTCAATCCTAACTAAGGGTTCAATCCTAGCTAAGGGTTCAATCCCGTTCAATCCCAATTCAAATTCAATCCTAGCTAAGGGTTCAATCCCGTTCAATCCCAATTCAAATTCAATCCTAGCTAAGGGTTCAATCCCGGCGGCTAGAAAGATTGGTTCTTTTTCCCGTTATTATGGGTTTTTTCTTAACAACTTTTCGGCAATAGGGGTAATTAGGGGTAAAAATTTCCTCCGTTGTGTTGTCATTCGTTATTCGTGTCGAATAACTTTACTATATACTACTATATACTTTACTTTATTAGAATTGTACAACCATTTCAAATTTTAACTCTGTAGCTAAGTTGAAACTCGAAATTTGTGAAATAAAAAACATTTTTCAGCGATTCTTCTCGCCCGTCGGCGTGTGAAAACGAAAGTAAACAAGAAGAAGTAAAGCCTTGTAAAGATCCGAATTGTTTGTTTGAATATTGAATTTGATCAATTTAAAGTTACAAATGACTCATTTTTGAATCTCTTTTACTCTTTTCTTTCCCATTTTCCCCAATTTTTACCTCAAATCACCGGTGTGCTTTCATTTTGTTGTGCATAAGAATTTGAATTATTAATTGTTAATGAATCTTCTTTGCCTCATTGAAATGATTGAAAAGATTTGTTCTTCGAAAAGTCGTTTCCTTTTTACACAAACCAGCACGGGTTTGGGCAATCACGAATGAACGATTGCATGACGATGTCGTCAACCTGGAAAAGTTTTCAACTTTCATCATATTCAGTGTTTTGGCTGAGGATCGAAAGATTAGATAAAAATCGGAGACAAGAGTACGGTAGCTTGGGGGAAAGCACGCGTTTTAGGAAACGGGTAACGGACCCTAAGCCTCAGCCGAAGCCTAACAAATTCCAGACACGAGATCGACCTGAAAATTTGCCAGGATGCTGTGGGGCGCAAGCACAACACCAAACGGGTGTGCCTTAGCTCCGAGAACTCGCTGAGATCCAAAAAATGGGGGTTCAGCCCAAACCCAAATAGACTTAGTGCTAGACGCTAGCCGCTAGCCTACGCACTAAGTCCAAGCCTAAGCCTAAACCTAAGCCTAAACCTAAGCCTAAACCTCAGCCTAAGCCTCAGCCTAAGCCTCAGCCTAAGCCCAAGCCTAAGCCTAAACCTAAGCCTCAGCCTAAACCTAAGCCTAAACCTAAGCCTAAGCCTAAGTCCCCAAATTTCCTAGTGGCCCCACCCTAATATATCCACAGCTGCTGTATTTATATCTCGAATACAGTACTCCTTTCAAATAGAGTAAAACCGTTACCCGCTTCCTAAAACGTGTTCTTTCCCCGAAACTACCGTACTCTTGTCTCCGATTTTGATCTAATCTATCCACTTTTTCGTCTAATTCTTTGAGTTTTCATAAAGAATATTGAAAGATATAAAAAGTGAATAGAATCAAAAAAAATTGACTATTGATACTTGACTTTTTTGGTCAGTATTTCTCTCCATTGTCTTTCCCGAAATGTATCCCCTTTCTTTACCGTAATCTTGTCTCTATTTTTATTCAATCTATCACTTTTTTGTCTGATTCTGTGAGGGTTTACAAAGAATATCGAAAGATATAAAAAGTGGATAGATTAGACGAAAATTCGACAAAATTACGGTAGAAAAGAGAAAAAGGCACATGAGTTTTAGAGCAAATTCAACACCAACCTGCATGACACACGTGTAAACGGTGGCTTTATTCAGATTCGGCTTGCTGCTCAACACCTGAAAAAGCCACGAATATGATTCAATATTTAGAAATGCAGTCTTGTTCACTAAATACTTTATCTCGGCATTCTGTAGGCATACAAGGCACTTGACTTTACAATAAATTTGGAAACCTATTTAGAGATCATGTTTCAAAGTTAAAAAGAAACTTGTGAGTTTAAAAATTGTAATGACTAACGAAAAAAAGAAACTCTACAAGGTGACCCTGATGTCACTGCATTGCATAGAAACTTACTTGCTTGGCTCTGTTTAATTTGCGACACAGCTTTTTACAGAAAGGCCCATAATATGTATTACGCCTTATATGAAGCCAAATTCAGTCGAAAATGTGTCAGATTACTTAAAGTTTGTTATAATCCCATTTTTACGACATTTTTACACTTCTACTTCAATTTTTAGTCCGATCAGTTGGCCAGAAGAAGAATTAGAGCCACTAGAAGCTCCGTAAATAAAAACCTGGCCCTAATTTTTCTTCTGGCTAAAAGATTCGGCTAAAAATTGGAGTATAAGTGTAAAAATGTTGTAAAAATGAGATTATACAAAGTTTAAGGTGATCTGACACATTTTCGACTTAATTTGGCTTCATATAAGGCGTAACAAACATTATGGACCATCTTGTAAAAGATTTCTTTCTAAATTTACTGCAAAAGTTTCAAGCTACACGTCACTAAATATTTGAACCAATCAATAATCAACTCTGATAGTTAAATCATAGCTAAATATTAGGTTGGCAACTTAATAATGACGCGTCACTACTTAACATGTTTTTTGTAATTTCAAGCACCGTTTCTTCCCTCTTTTTTGCATATATACAAAGTAAAAGATGTCTGCATAAATAACATTTAGTGCTCCGAATTTCATCATTCGCTTTTTGGCAAAAAATGGAGGACAAAAAATTCCGTATTCGAGCTGTATTGTTCTACGATTTTTAACAAGGAAAATCACCAGCTGAATCTCATCGCACGATCATCACTGTTTTTGGAGAGAAAAGTATAAACATTGGGCAATGTCAACGATGGTTTCAAAGATTCCAAGGCGGCGATGAAAGCCTCGTAGACGAGCCACACCAAGGACATCCTCCAGAAGTGGTCGATGATGACTTGCTCGCCTTAATTGAAGATTGCCCAACACTCACCGTTCGTGAGTTGGCAGAAATATTTTAAGTATCCCATACGACAATCGAAAACTATTTACACACTTGGGAAAAAGAATCGTGTTGGAAAATGAGTTCCTCACGAATTGATCCAAAGCAACAAAATGGCCCGTTTCAATGTCGCCTCAATTTTGCTACAAAATTTAAATCGAACGACTTTTTTCACAGGGTTTTGACTTCTGACGAAACGTGGATCAACTACGAGAACGTTAAACGCAAAAATCAATGGCTATCTGCTGGGCAGACCCCTTAAACCACTCCCAAACCTGATATCCATGGGAAGAAGATAATGCTCTGTTGCTGGTGGAACTTCAAGGGATTGGTGCATTATGAAGTGCTGAAACCTGGCCAAATCGTCGATGCTGATCTTTATTCAAAGTAATTAATGAGAGTTAACGAGTCTTTGAAGAAATTGGGGCTCAAACCGGAGAGAGTCAGATTTTTACACGACAACGCAAAATCTCACACTGCAAAGATCACTTATAAGAAAATCGAGGAACTTGGCTGGAAAGTTTTTCCCCACGCGCCTTATTCACCTGATCTGGCTCCTTCAGATTACTTTTTGTTTCGGTCGCTGAAGCACTTTTTGGAGGGAGAAAAGTTCGATGATCATGCTCGGATCATAAAAGCAGTGAATGACTACTTCGCCTCAAAAACTCCCAAGTTCTTCGAGGATGGGATCCGGGATTTGCGCAGAAGATGGGAAGAAGTCATAGATACTAATGGAGAATACCTTTCGAATTGAAAGCTCTTCTTTTGTGTTTTTTAAAATAAATGATTTGTTACATAAACGCGTCATTATTAAGTTGCCAACCTAATAGCTAAAAATGACATTTCTTCAAGTTCTGGTGTGTTTAGAAGTCAATAAACATTGGGACGTATTCGTTTAAAAATCTAGGTTTCAACATTGCCTACTAAAAGAGCAAATTTTTCTAATTAATAGCAAGGGCGTTAATATCAACTTGGCAAGAAAGTCTTTTCGCTCCATCCAATTTTTTTCAATCAAATCAGCTACCAAACTTCTGTATGGTTAAAATTAGATTAGAAAGTTTTGGTGGAAGAAATATTTGAGTACCGAGTTCACGTTCTTTTCACTCGGAATTTACCAAAACAACGTGTATTTGTATTGTTTGTATCACATTATTCGTTTGAATGTTATTCGTTTAAAAATTTAAGTTTCATCATTGCCTACTAAAAGAACCAATTTTTCCAATTAATGGCCAAGGTGTTAATATGAATTTGGCAGGAAAGTCTTTTCGCTGCACCCATATCGGGACAAATGCGACTCTTTTTTGCGCACCCGGACATTTGCGCACCTTTTTTTCCGCACTTAGCCCATTAGCGCACCTTTTTTCGCGTTTTAAAAAAGCTCTAAAAGCTAATATTAACCAATTTCTATTCCAAAAGTTGTTTTTCTAGGTAATTTTAGGGCGTAGAATTCAAATTTTGACATAATAGAGCTTGTGGAACCAAGAAAACCAACCAAAACCAATGTGGAACCAAAAGACAAAACGGCTAGATCAAATTACACGAAAATTGTTGATTTTTCTCTTTGTATAACTTCGTCCGTTCGCTTCCACAAGCTCTGATATACCAAAATTTCGATTCTACACCCTAAAATTACCTAGAAAGACAACTTTTGGAATAGAAATTGGTTAATATTAGCTTTTAGAGCTTTTTAAAACGCGAAAAAAGGTGCGCTAATGGGCAGGGTGCGCAAATGTCCGGGGTGCGCAAAAATAAAGTCGCATTTGTCCCACTCCCCCCATATCAATATCATAACATTCTTTTAGTACGCAAGGTTGAAACTTAAATTTTTAAACGAATACGTCCCAATGTTTGTTGACTTCTAAACACACCAGAACTTGAAGAAATGTCATCTTTAGCTATTTAGCTATGATTTAACTATCAGAGTTGATTATTGATTGGTTCAAATATTTAGTGACGTGTAGCTTGAAACTTTTGCAGTAAATTTAGAAAGAAATCTTTTACAAGATGGTCCATAATGTTTGTTACGCCTTATATGAAGCCAAATTAAGTCGAAAATGTGTCAGATTGTTTAAACTTTTATATAATCTTATTTTTGCAACATTTTTACACTTATACTTCGATTTTTAGTCTGATTAAACCAAATTTTTTAACCAAATCAGCTACCAAACTTTTGTATAGTTAAAATGAAAGATCAATATCATAACCTAAAAAAAGCGGCACTACTTTTTACTTTCGGAAGTTTTGATTAGAAGAAATAGTTGAGCTTTAGTGTTCTTTTCCGTGTTCACGTTCTTTTCACTCGGATTTCTTTCACGGGTTCTTCTCAAAACAAGATGTATTTGTGTTGTTTGCAATCACATTATTCGTGTGAATAAATGTCTCTTTATACCTGATAAAGTCCCTCCAATCCAACATTTGCTCTCGTCATCCTCTGCATGCAATCATTCCCGGGCCCGATTCGAGCATCCAAATAGAATTCGGGTTTATCCTGCAATAGAATTCGGGTTTATCCTTTTGGCAACGTTTAAGCCACTCCCCAAGTAAGCAAAGTAAGCAAAGTAAGGACGAAAATTGAAACACGACTTTTTCAATTCATTTTTATCATTTAAAATTTGTAATTCTGGTCTTAGAAGTCAAAAAAAATGTATTTTTCGGAAAAAAAGATCCAATTGATACTTTTGAAATTCAAAAGTCAATCAAAACAATGCAAAAAACTAATTAGATGTTGAAAAAGTATTAACACACAATAAGCACTTAGCTTGAGCTTTGCAGGATAGGATTCCTGCGAAGAACTGTGAAAAACGAAGAGTTTGTTCATTTTTTAATATTAGATTGAGGAAAAAGTTCTGACTCAGCTGTGAAGAATTCAATTTTTATACATTTTTCTGCTGGTTTTTCGTGTATTCTTACCAATCCTTCATACCAATCTTGATCTTTGTTTTCCAGATGTGTTTGCAAGAAAAAGAGCTTCGAGTTTTGAACCGATATTGCTGGAAGGGGAAACTTTCAACAAGTGATGCCGTGGAAGTGATTTACGATGCTGAAGATGAAAGAACTGTCAATCAAAGAGCTGTAAGTCAACCAAAAGTTTCAAAAGATGCTTGGATTCCGGTGACACGAGCCTTGAAGACTTACCTCGTTTCGGTCGATCGCCAAAGTAGGATGATAGTGACTCAAGTCATTTGAAGAAGTTGAAGAAGTTGAAGAAGCTTGCCAAGAGTTCTTTGATTCGAAACCGGAGTGGTATTCGGAGTGGTACTTCGACGAGATCCGAAAGCTTGCAGATCGATGGCAGAAAGTCGTAGATAATCATCGGTTATACTTTAAGGAATAATTGTTCTTAGTTTTGTTATTAAAGTGCGCATAAAGTTGAGCTCAGTCAGAACTTTTTCCCAGCTAAGTCAGAACTTTTTCCTCAACCAAGTATTACTTTCTTTTCACTCACCCAATCGTAGTTCGTCTCCAATACGTACCATCCGTTCGGCTTTGTGGTGTCAATTTTCTAAAAGAAAATGACTAGTTTCAAAATATCTAACGTTATCAACGTTAACGTTTACAATCATAAAGCTTTTTTTCTTTTTTTTCGGTTTAACAATGATTTCGCTTCTGCTGGCCGCTGAGTTGAAAGTTCTGCTGAGTTGAAAAAAGAGAGTTTCAAAAAAAAGTTGATACAAGTGAAAATCAAAATTTTAATGGGAAGTGGGGGTTTTTCTTAATTCTAATCAACATTTGCCTACTTGTAGATGCCTCTCGTTTTTATTCTACAAATTAAACCATAGAATGCTTTTTGCACCTTGATGCTTTCAAAGCAAATTCTTCAAATTCTTCAAATTCTGCACAACTTTGGTGCTTTCAAAGCCTCAAAACGAGTTAGAGAGTGAGCTCAAAAATCTTTTTTTCTTCTCAATCCTAGATCCTGATTGGCTAATAAAAGTCCTCAAATTTCAATAAATGAAAGATCACCAAAGAAAAACCGAAAAAAAAACCTCAATGTGATCGGTTCCATTAGCATTTCTTGTGATGACAGCTCCTTCTCCACTTTTCGTTCCACCGACAATGAAATACCCGCCGGCAAAGAGCGGAGTCGTTGAGAGGTACTCGATTGCCTGAAAATATTGCTTTAGAGTAGACATTGGCACTATAAGCTACAAAAATACTACAAAAATGACGAACTGTTACACTGCAAACGCTTCGAAATTGCTTCAAATCTGCCCGATTGTTATGAGCTATAGCTTAAAAAATAGAGAATCTCAAGAGCTTTCAAATGAACTAAAATGAACTCAAAAATATGAACGCTAAAGAAAGCTACAGTGGTTTGACGCAAAACGGACCGTACTCAAAGTCAAAGTAGTCAAAGCTATCGAGTCGGACTACAAACCATTGTAACTTCCTTTAGCATTCATATTTTTCGGTGTGCTTTAGTCCATTCGAAAGCTCTTGAATTTCTTTATTTTTTGGATCTATAGCTCATATCAATCCGGCAGATTTTAAGCAAGTTAGAAGCGTTTTTAGTTTACGTTTGTAGTTTGTAGTAGACTTCGGAAAACAAAACTTAACCAAAACCACCAAAACCAAAACCAAAACCAAAACTAACCAAAACTCGCCAATATCTCGCGACTGGGAGGAGCTAGCGAAAATCTGTTTGCAGATTTGAAATCAGCGTCCAAAAATCTATCCCATAGGCTATTTTTTGTTTCGAAATTTCGAGGTCGTGTTTTGGTCCTTTTTTCGGCCGCGAGATTTTGGGGAGTGAGAAAAAGTGAAAGGCTAATTTGCATATTACATTCAAATTTGCATTTTACAATCTTAAATTTACATTTTACAATTTTAAATTTACATATTAATTTATATGCAAATTGAGTTTTGGTTTGTTTTGGTTTTGGTTTGTTTTGGTGTTTTGGTTTTGGTTTTGGTTTTGGTTTTGTTTGCCGAACTCTAGTTTGTAGTGTTCATGTCTACTTTAAAGATTGTAATTGATAAAAAAGCAAGTTTGAAAGTTTTAAGCTAACCATACAATTGCTTAAAGATGTGCCTAAGAAATTTCAGTTTCAATGGGCGCAAAATTAGGACCGAAAGCTTATTAGGAATCTGTTTTGCCTATTTCAAAATATTGTTTTCATTGAATTTTAGTGAATTTGAAAAGGAATAGAACCAGAATTTTACAAAAATGAACTCTGAAATTCCCCATTTCCGATTTTTCGAACGGAACATGAGCCGAACTTTCTAAAGTCGCTCAAGGAGAACCTAAAGTTTTCTGAAAAACGCCTGGACTTTCCAAAACCTGAACACTAAACCCCCGAGCTTTAAAACATCTCAAAAATTACTTCTAAATACCAACTAGATGTAACCAAAGAAATTTCAAGTTTCAAAGAGATCAAGCTTAATACCAAAAGTCACTCACCTAGTAACTTGGCTAATCAAACAGACTTTGCTTGTTTTTTTTTTAAAAATGAGAACCTAGTTGCTGTTTTTGATAAATTTCTACATTGTTTGTGGGATTTAATTAAAATTTATCCAAATTTTGGATTCAAATGGCCACTCACCTCCGAATAGCTGTTCGCTTTCTCCAAAACATCTCGATCGGCCCAGATCAACTCGCGACGACCGTTCTCTTGCTGAAACTTTTCATTTTAGTTTTAGTTTTAAAGTTTGCTGAAATTGTTTCTCATTCAAGTTCATGGTGACATGATTGGCTCTTTCAAATTCGAACTTTCAAAGTCAACAGCACGAAGCTGGCGCTTAACTTTCTAATATACCGTATTCTCTCTAATAGTGGTGCAAGCCGCCGAGCTTGATGACTGTTTTACAGTTTCCAAGCTTTTGCAGAAGCTCAACACTCAAATCCCCCACAAGATCTCATCGTTAGCTACATTTTCCGATCCCACATCGATAGGTTCTGATAAGCGGTTCTCGAGATTTCGGGAATTTAGGCGACGCTCAGGATGCGCAACTATTAGAGAGAATACGGTATTCAAAAGTAATTTTAAGTATCATTTTTATTTACAATATAAAAGATTTCTATAGAGGAAATATGGTGAAAATAGAAATTTATATGTTATGGTTATTATTAAAATTGATTTTCAATCAATTTTCCACGCAAGCCAAAGCCATTTATAATTAGTGCTATAGAAATCAAATAAATATCTACTATTTTCTCTAATAGTAGTGCACCCCGGCGAGCCGAGCTTGATGACTAATTTACGGTTTCCAATTTTTCCCAGAAGCTCAACCCTCTCATCCCCCACTAGATCTCATCGTCAGCTACATTTTCCGACCCCACATCAATAGATTCTGATAAGCGGCTCTCGAGATTTCGAGGAATTTAGACGACGCTCAGGATGCACTACTATTAGAGAGAATACGGTAGTTATATCCTCACAGGCAGAAAGACACGCTGCAGTCAGCTAGCCAGATCTAGAGTCAGCTCTGACTGACGGACACTCAGGCTACTATTCGAGAGAATACGGTATCTCACGAATTATTTGGACTTTACATTTGGGCAAAGTAAATGAGCAATTAACCAAATTTTAAACGACAAAGAGGGAAAAATAAAAAATTTGGAGTTTCAATGTCTCAAAAAAAGTTTAAAGCAAAAATTGGAATCCTCTTTGTGTCAACTCAATGCCGTAATTCATCACTGATATTAAGTACTTTAATTTCGCCGTTTTTTTTTGGCTAAAACCGACGTTCGAGCAATTTTTTTTAAGTTGAACGCTTATCATTCTAATAGAAAAATTCAATATTAATCGAAAAAACATGCATGAACTCTTTAGTCAAATCAAATTAACCAAAAAACTTCTCACTTGATCCTTTCAAAAGTGAAAGTTCATTTTTTTTCTGTAACTAGATCCCGAAAAGGTTTCTTATTCATAAAAAATGATCAAAAAGATTTAAAAGATAAACTTTTTCAAGTCTTATCATTTTCTTATCTTTTGATTTTATAGAAAGAATCAAATCTATAATTTCAAGCTTTAAATCTCATTGCTTTTTGAATTTTTGAAATTTTCAATGATTAGATGACATTTTCCAAGTTAAAAGTCTAACAAAATCTATTTACTCGATAACAACTTGAAACTCGAAACCCACTCCAGCAAACCAATCCATAAGGAGACTCCAATCGGAACCAGCGCGCGAGTTCGTCGACAACGTGAACGCATGGGGTTTCAAGCCTGAGTTGATTGACTTTCAAGAGTTATTGCGAAAAAGGAAAGTCTCAACATTCGTAAGGATATCAAAAGCTTGTTGTCGGCAGTTTTTCTTAGATCGATTCTATTTTGGAAAGTAAAACTTGTTTTAAAGATGAGTTTCAAACTTTTCGCAGGCTGTCCCGGGTCAATAAACCTTGATTCTTTATTCTATATTTACCGTATTTTCTCTAATAGTAGTGCACCCCGGCGAGCCGAGTTGGTGACTATTTTACGGTTTCCAAGCTTTTGCAGAAGCTCAACCCTCTAATCCCTCACTAGATCTCATCGTCAGCTACATTTTCCGACCCCACATCGATAGGTTCTGATAAGCGGTTCTCGAGATTTCGAGGAATTTAGGCGACGCTCAGAGTGCACTACTAGAGGGTGCACTACTAGAGGGTGCACTACTAGAGGGTGCACTACTAGAGGGTGCACTACTAGAGGGTGCACTACTAGAGGGTGCACTACTAGAGGGTGCACTACTAGAGGGTGCACTACTAGAGGGTGCACTACTAGAGGGTGCACTACTAGAGGGTGCACTACTAGAGGGTGCACTACTAGAGGGTGCACTACTAGAGGGTGCACTACTAGAGGGTGCACTACTAGAGGGTGCACTACTAGAGGGTGCACTACTAGAGGGTGCACTACTAGAGGGTGCACTACTAGAGGGTGCACTACTAGAGGGTGCACTACTAGAGGGTGCACTACTAGAGGGTGCACTACTAGAGGGTGCACTACTAGAGGGTGCACTACTAGAGGGTGCACTATTAGAGAAAATACGGTATTTTATTCAATCTAAGTCGATAAAATTTTTAGAAACTGCCCTAGTTTGATCAAATTTTGTTGGCTTTTACCCGTCAGCACTCCCATGTGTCCGGCAAAAGTGACTCCTTTGTAGAAAACTTGACCGCCTTTCATGTAATTGACGTTGATGAGAATTTTCTGGAATTGTTTACATTGATCTAGATTTGTTTACTAAGATTTCAGACACCGTTATTTCTAGTTAGATCTAAAGCCATTAATTCACTAATCTAGTGCTCATTAAAGGGTTTCATTAGCCTAATCCTAAATCTTTTTTTTCGTGATTCTAGTGATTATAGTACTCTCAAAGTTTTTGCAGCTCATTCTCAACAAATCCGACCTTCAATGCGATCGTTTGTTGCCAAGTCTCGAGTGTCGTGTTCCAGATAAAGAAAGTACCGAAATCTTGATTCCTGTAAATATTATTGATTTACGAATTGATAGACTAATTATTCGTACTAGTACTAGTACGTACGTACTTACGTTAGTACTAGTACTAGTACGTACGTACGTTAGTGCTAGTACTAGTGTGACAAAGTACTAGTGTGACAAAGTACTAGTGCGACAAAGTACTAGTGCGACAAAGTACTAGTGCGACAAAGTACTAGTGTGACAAAGTACTAGTGTGACAAAGTACTAGTGTGACAAAGTACTAGTGTGACAAAGTACTAGTGTGACAAAGTACTAGTGTGACAAAGTACTAGTGTGACAAAGTACTAGTGCGACAAAGTACTAGTGCGACAAAGTACTAGTGCGACAAAGTACTAGTGCGACAAAGTACTAGTGCGACAAAGTACTAGTGCGACAAAGTACTAGTGCGACAAAGTACTAGTGCGACAAAGTACTAGTGCGACAAAGTACTAGTGCGACAGTTCATTCAGTTCGACAGTTCATTGTCTTCTGTTCATTTGGATTTTCGTTTGATGATTTCGATTGAGTTTCGTAAATTTTCATTTGAATCTTTCTGATTTAAGTTTTTAACTAAACTTTTGTCTTTTTTTTGTCATTTTTACGGCATATAGACCAATTAGAGAGCAAAAAAAGTAAAATGAATAATTTCAAGCGCTTCCCCCACCCCAAAATCAGCAAAAATCTCAAAGATTAGACATTCTCAAAGATTGTACATTTCTAGTTTGATTTAAAGCCATTAATCCACTAATCTAGTGCTCATTAATGCTATTTTACTATCTTTTTACGCATTTATAGTTTCATAAAAACTGAGAAACACTCAGAAAACAGTGAAAACACATGGTAGCGCTTGAGATTGTTTCCCATCAAAATCGAACGTCCGCAGTGATTTCAATCCAAGTCGAATGGCTGATTTAGATTCAATCCAAGTCGAACACAACACATGAATCAGGTAATAATTAAGGGTAGACTCAAATTAATTCAAGAAAGAAATCACCAATTGCATGCGGCTAACTAAGCATGCAACATTGCCAAAATTGAAACTTGCGAGTAAATACCGGATATTAAGCATTTGTTTTGATGAGTTGCGTTGAGTTTTGATGAATTTTGATTAGGTTACAAGTTTTTTTGTATCTTGTTTTTGGTTACTGCAATCACTGGTTTAGCTATAGAATTCACCTAGCATGGAAAATTTTCCCGTTTGGATCCTCGGCCACAATCGATGTGCAACCCTTGGAAATCTCATAGAAAAGATTCAACAGTGTCACTTGTTGTGGGGTGATATTCGCAGCTTCGGCGAAACCCTGGAAAAGTTAATGTTTCAAAAAAGACGGCTGATTGAAAGAATTTTGAGTTCTGATAATATTGTACAATTCTAGTTAGATCTAAAGTCATTAATCCAAGGATCTTTAATCTTTACTTTATTTAATCTTTACTTTACTTAATCTTTACTTTATTTAATCTTTACTTTACTTAATCTTTACTTTATTTAATCTTTATTATAAATCTTTATTATAAATCTTTATTTGAAGCTTGAATCCACCTAAGTATCAAAGATATAAGAAAGTATTTAGATCAGCGTTGTTATAAAAGTCAATTTTTAACGAGCCAAGCCGTGTAAAGCAAGACTAGAGCCTGTTTTGGTGTTAAAAATGTTTTGCGATAGACCTTGGGAAAGTCAATGTTTCAAAAAAGACAGCTTGAAGCAATTTTGAATTATGTCAATAGCGTACATTTCTAGTTAGAATTAAAGCCCATTAATCTTTAATCTTTACTTTATTTAATCTTTATTATAAATCTTTATTCGAAGCTTGAATCCACCTACGTATTAAAGATATAAGAAAGTATTTAGATCAGCGTTGTTATAAAAGTCAATTTTTGACGAGCCAAGTCGTGTAAAGCAAGACTAGAGCCTGTTTTGTTGTTAAAAATGTTTTGCGATAGACCTTGAGAAAGTTAATGTTTCAAAGAGGATCAGTTTCGAGTTAATGCTTGAAAACCCTTGATGAATTTGGTCTCTTCGATTGCTCTAGAACCTCGCCATTTGACGGTCAATGCTTGGAATGATGTGCTTTGGAGCGATGAGGTCAAATTCAATCTTTTCAACTCGATGCTCCTAGAGCAGTGGCAAGAATTGCCAATAATCAACCAGTCTAATCAAACTATGAACCCATTTTTAACATTCACCAAAATCTCGGATTTGTACGGTTCAGGAAGATGCAAAACGGCGTCCTCCATCATATCCAACAGCATGTCCCAAATTAGACCGCCGAAATCCCCTAAAAGAGTCGCGATGAAATCGTGCACTGTGGCCAGGGTGTCGAGGAGCTGAAAGAGTTGGTTTCATTAGAATTCTCATCAAATTTGACTAGAGAAAAGTGCAATTTATTTTGTATACTCACCTGTAAGAACGTAGAGAAAAACTTTGAAGCTATAAAGCTTTGAAGCTTCGAAGCTTTGAAGCTATGAAGCTTCGAAGCTTTGAAGCTATGAAGCTATGAGGCTTTGAAGCTTTAAAGCTTTGAAGCTTTGAAGCTTTGAAGCTATGAAGCTTCAAAGCTTTGAAGCTATGAAGCTATGAAGCTATGAAGCTTTGAAGCTTTGAAGAAATAAATTTATAGTCAACTTATAACTAAGATACAGGATTTCTAAGGGAACTTGAACTTAACGAATGTTCCCGGATCATCATGACCTCACAATTGGTGTTTACATGTTAATGTTTCAAAATTAGACGATTCTTGGATTACTTATCTGAGTTAATTACTTTTCGAAGCCAGAATTGCAGTTTAAAAGTTTCAAAAATGACTGGTAAAATCCTAAAATGCTATTGTAAACTAAAATCGAATTTAAATATGCAATTTAACATTATCGATTTTTTTTTCACCTCTTGTCTCTTTGATTGTGCAACGAGTGCCCATCTCGTTCTCGGATCCTCATCCAAATTGATGTTGAACCAGGGAACCGAGAGCGCTCCAGCCGGATCATAGACACCCGGCACGTTCGCCATGCACACCCAAAGCAAATCATTTTAGCGTTTCAATTTTCTCATGATTGTAGATACCTAATTAGAGAGCTTTGGTCTTAAATCTACGAGCACAAAAAAATGTTTTATCAAAAGCTAATGCCAAAAGCCAATCTACACCGGCAACAATCTTGTCTCTTTACCAGGGAGACACTCTTTATTCCCTCCTTAATTGCCAAATTTAAAACGAAACCAACTCCATCTTATAGAATCAACTACGCTGATTCCGAGTCCGTTTTCGGTTTTTGCCTTCGATGTCTGTAAAGCGAGATATCTGGGCTGCAAGTTTTAAGCCTCTTTACTTTACTTCATTCTTGATCGAGTCTTTAATTGAGAGCCTGTTATAAGGTGTAAACCTGCAAAAAGTATTAGATTAAAAAAAGCAAAAGAAATTGGCCGATAAGAGGATCGAACCAGGGTGCTTTTGACCCGTAGTCGGCAGCTTTGGCGATGCACCACGTCGCTAATTGGCTAGTTGGTTCCATGAGAAATGAAGTAAAGTAAAGAGGCTTAAAACTTGTATCTCAGATATCTCGCTTCACAGACATCGAAGGCAAAAACTGAAAACGGATTCGGAATCAGCGTAGTCGATTCTATAAGATGGAGTTGGTTTCGTTTTAAATTTGGCAATTAAGGAGAGAATAAGGTAAAGAGAGACAGTAAAGAGACAAGATTTGAAATTTGATTCCCTAGTGTACTAAGCGACTTAGGAGTTTGTAAGGGCTACCGTCGCTCACCAAACTAAGTGACTCGGTGGTGACTTGCCTAAGTCATATAGCTTTGGTGATTCGCGCTTGCGAAATCTCATCGTTCCCTAGTTAGTTTGCATATTAACTCTAATATGACACCACGGTGCCAGTAGAACAGTAGAACAGTAGAAACAGTTGCCGGTGTAGATTGGCTTTTGGCATTGGCTTTTGATAAAACATTTTTTTTGTGTGCTCGTAGACTTCCCTAGTTAGATGAGAGCAATCGACTGTAAATTGTTGTTTAAAACTCTAGTAGATTGCAATGTTTTGTGTCATCTAACCGTCTCCACAAAGCTCAGGTAAAAGGAATGTAAAAAGAAGCGGCAGCTCCGTCATGTTTCAGTAATATTAGAATCAGAATGAATGCTGAAATGACAATCAAAAGGATGGATTTTAAATGAATTTCAAAGAAATTTCACAATTTTAATGTTGCTATTGGGTTGGTGAATTGAAACCCGCAGGACTTTGAACTAAAATTTATTCAACATCAAACTTTCAAGCCTGAATTGATTCACTTTCAAAAGCTATTGCAAAAAAGTATATATTCTCAGCATTCTTAAGGATATCAAAAGCTTGTTGTCGGCAGTTTTTCTTAATTGAATCCTATTTTGGAAAGTAAAACTTGTTGTAAAGATGAGTTTCAAACTTTCAGCAGGCTAGCTTGGATCGGTGAAGCTTTATTCTTTATTCTATTAGGTTGGTGAATTGAAAACTGCGGGACTTTGAACTAAAATTTATTCAACATAAAACCATGAATTCATTCCAAATAATTTCCATTATTATTGACGACTTCTGCCCATTTTACAGGCAATTTGCGGATTTCTCTTTCGTGGTAGGATTTTGGTTTGTGTGTGAGACAAGTGTGAGACTCAAAAATGGAGGACTGGAGATGTCCCAGTTTGAGCACTTTCTTCAAAAGAAACCCATTTTGGTGTCAATAGAAAAGTTGTAGAGAATCAAAAATTAGGCTTATAGCCAAATTTCCAAAAGGATACACTTAGTAGTTTCGCTTAAAATGCAAGTTTTGTGAAAATTCGTAAATTTGGCATTTCTTGAAAGCCAGTTTTTGAATCGTTCTGAAAATTTGGATATAAGCTTCATTTTTGATTCTCTACAACTTTTCCATTGACACCAAAATGGGTTTCTTTTGAAGAAAGCGCTCAAGCTGTCACAGATGACAATAGCCCGCAGTTTTCAATTCACCAACCCAATATTTATCTTTTCATCACTCACCTCTCCATAAACTCCCCATGGATCGGGCGTTTGCGCAAAAACGCTCACACAAAATGCGACCAAAAGCCAAATCGCCCGCATTTAGTTTGGCTGAAGATGTTTTTAAAAAAAACGATTCCTGGCAATGATAATTGACTTTAAAATATAAAAAAATGTTCACAGAATGGGCAAAAAGTTGCTGTATATAGAAGAATACCGTATTTTCTGTAATAGTAGTGCGCACTACTATTTTTTCAACCCCCCCTCCAGCCTGCACTACTATTACAGACTGCACTACTATTATAGACTGCACTACTATTACAGAAAATACGGTATGAGGGTTTTTTTGCTATTTGAAATTCTATGTTTCAAATGGAAGCATTTGTGACAGCATTTCGCACAGCTAATGATCATCAAGTATACTACTTAGTTGAATTTTAATAATAGCATAATCCCCCTTATGCACTCAATTCATCATTTTTCTCATAGCAAGACATAAAGTTGGCATAAAGAAATGAGAAATCTGAGTGTGCCAGAGGGATTGTGTTTAGGAGATTTTTGAGCGCAAAGTATACCCCACAAAATCAACTAGAAATCTGTTTGTAGCTGTGTTTCAAATTTTCAAATTAGTCAACTTCAAAATTGTATCTGCAATTTCAAATAATTACCGTAAATACTGTAATAGTACCCCACACCCCTTGTACAGTCGCGTAGTCGCAAAAGTTTTTTAGTATTTCATTCTTTTCAAAGCACCCGTACTTTCAAAAAATGCGTCTTTGGTATCAAAAATAGCCCTGAATTTCAGCTATTTTTTGATACCTAAGCGCGCATTGTAGCATAAGCCAGTGTCGAGAAAAACTCGTTCAAAGCTAGACTACGCAACACTCCGCACCGTCATTATGGGGATGGGGTACTATGCAGTATTTACTGTAATAGTACCCCATCCCCATAATGACTGCTTAAGTTGAAGAAAAAGAAAAGAAAAGAAAAGAAAACTAAGGAGTTCGTTGCACCAGAAAAGGTGTTTTTCCCAATTTTTAATCAAAAAGTATACCATAATTAGTTTTTAGAAGTAAAGATTTCAAAAAAAATAAAAGCTTTTCGTCATTTTTGATTCCAAAAATCTCTTCTGATCAACTGGCGTTGAATTATCTAAATCCGTTTTCAAGAAAAAAAAAAAGCTTTTAAGCGATAAGAAAGAGCTTTTCAGGGGCAATATGACAGCGATTTGTGTCAAAATGAAAAAAAATTGTTCACAAGCTTTAAACTAGAAATTGAAATTGCAATTTAAATAGAAATTGAAATTTCAATTGAAATAGAAATCAAAAAAAGAAATTGAAAACATGAGTTGATAAAAGGATAAATGAGTTAAGATGAAATGAAAGAAAGAAAATTTGATTAAAATTGAAGCCTTCTAGAAGTTATTGTCTCCAAAACAGCTTACCAAATGCCGTTTTAGTTGAAACATATTTTGAATGAACACAAAATTTTGATACAATCTCTTTCTAATCGCACAGTTCAGGCCTCAAGATGTACTCAAGATGTAATTTGTGCTAGAAAATGTAAACCAAATCTTTCTAGAGTACCTGATTCTCCAATTCTCTGCCAATAACTTGTTCAATGACAATAACTTGTTCCATTGTTTCCAAAACAGTTTGCTAAGTACGAATTTCTTTGAAACAATCTGTAGAGGAAAGGAACCAAATCTGTAGAGAAAAGGAACTAAATCTGTAGAGAAAAGGAACCAAATCTGTAGATAGAGGAAAGGAACCAAATCTGTAGAGAAAAGGAACTAAATCTGTAGAGAAAAGGAACCAAATCTGTAGAGGAAAGGAGCCAAATCTGTAGAGAAAAGGAACCATATCTGTAGACGAAAGGAACCAAATCTGTAGCGAAGAGGACCAAATCTGCAAAGAAAAGCAACCAAATCTGTACCGAACCAGTTTCTTTGAAACATGAAAATTTAGACAGAAATTTAGACAGAAAAAAACCATTTTCTTTATCGATACAATACCAAAATTTACACATAAAACAGTTAGAAATATGTCTAAAAAAGAAAAACAAAACTTTTCCTAGAGTTTTTTAGCATATAAATAATATAAATTTAAATAATTTCAATTTATTAAGACCAGTTCTGTTGAATTACTTTTTTGATTGCACTGTGTACTCAAAAATTGATAAACACACCCTTTCTGGTGCACTCATTGCTTCATTTTAACTGTTACTGCAAAAAAATGAGGAATTCGGTACGCTAGAAGGGGTGTGCTTGTCACTTTTTGCGCACAGAGTACAAATTGTGTTGATTTGCTTCTAGAGTTGAAGACTTGTGCAAGTCAAAGTTTCAAGTTAATGCATAATCATGAGCTTTTAAATTGATTAATGATTTGTGCCGTGAATCTTTAACTAACTCGTTAGCTTAAAAAGCAATGACTTTGCATGATTTTTTGCGTGCATTTAAGTGTGGATTTGCGTTTTTGATTCGAGTTGAAGCTCGAGTTGAAGATTTGATGCTTTTCTCCATTTTTGTACTCTTGCGAAAGCTCTTTTAATCTAATTTGTGCAAAAAATCCTTTTCTTGATCCAATTCTTGATTTTTTGCACAAATACCAATGTAATCAGCTGAACACAGCTCTGAGGAAAAGACCAAAGTCTGATAAGACTAAAATCTTTTTGTGTTTATGCTGAGAATATGATTTATGGGTTTTTCTTTAGCAAACCAGCAGTTTTTGAAATCATTTATTTCTATTTTGGAAGTGTTTTCGCTGAAAGACAATAGGATTACAAAATGGATAAAGAGATTTAAAAGATGAGCGGATCATAAGAAAATAGTCAATTCATACATTTACATAGCTTAATTTAAGCGAATAGGTCTCTTCTGGTTGACCGGTGTCGACGTTTTGAATGAAAATCAATACCTGAAAAAAAATGAAAGTTTCAAGATAGACGACTTCTAGGAACTTTGGTGATAAGTAATCTTTGCGGGCTTTCAATTTAATTTACATTATTGTAAGACTTGGGCTAAATATTGGAGAGTGGGACAAATGCGACCTTTTTTTTTGCGCACCCGGACATTTGCGCACCTTTTTTTCCGCACTTAGCCCATTAGCGCACCTTTTTTCGCGTTTTAAAAAAGCTCTAAAAGCTAATATTAACCAATTTCTATTCCAAAAATTGTTTTTCTAGGTAATTTTAGGGCGTAGAATCGAAATTTTGGCATATCAGAGCTTGTGGAAGCGAACGGACGGAGTTATACAAAGAGAAAAATCGACAATTTTCTGTAATTTGATCTAGCCTGTCTTTCAGATCTAGATCTGCCTTTCAAATTGGTTCCACACGCTCTGTTATGTCTAAATTTGAATTCGACACCCTCAAATTACCTAGAAAAACAACTTTTCGAATAGAAATTTGGTTAATATTAACTTTTAGAGCTTTTTTAAAACACGAAAAAAGGTGCGCTAATGGGCTAAGTGCGGAAAAAAAGGTGCGCAAATGTCCGGGTGCGCAAAAAAAAGGTCGCATTTGTCCCACTCCCCCCATATCAATATCATAACCTTCTTTTAGTAAATTTAGAAAGAAATCTTTTTGAAATCTTTTACAAGATGGTCCATAATGTTTGTTACGCCTTATATGAAGCCAAATTAAGTCGAAAATGTGTCAGATTGTTTAAACTTTGTTATAATCTCATTCTTACAACATTTTTACACTTATACTCCAATTTTTAGCCGAATCTTTTAGCCAGAAGAAAAATTAGGGCCAGGTTTTTATTCAGGGAGCTACTAGTGGCCCTAATTCTTCTTCTGGCCAACTGATCAGACTAAAAATTGAAGTATAAGTGTAAAAAAGTTGTAAAAATGAGATTATACAAAGTTTAAGGTGATCTGACACATTTTCGACTGAATTTGGCTTCATATAAGGCGTAATACATATTTTGGGCCTTTCTGTAGAAAGCTGTGTCGCAAATTAAAAAAAAATTGTCTGCATTTGTCCCACTCCCAAATATTGTGCATAAAATTGAAAACAGCAGGAAAATTGTTTGACTGCTTTCTTTTAGAGTGTGTTCCTCGCGAGTAAGTAATTACTTGAGGCAAATTTGCATGAGTAAACTTTACTCGATTAATCGGCGTTTTTGGTCGAGTAACTACGAGTAAATCCTCATTACACGTCGAGTAAATTGAATATCTTTGCATTTGAAGGGGAATTTGCCACCAAATCAGTTGAACGGTTGAATATCTTTAAAAGGAGTCGTGTATAACGCGGCGCTCGTGATTTTCGCGCCAATTTTTTTGCAATAATTTTCGCTAAAAGTACTTTTAGCGACTTTCCGCGACGGGAAACTTTACCCGATTGCTTTTTTAAAAAAGCGTGCGTTTTAAAAAAGGCATTACTCGCGAGGAACACACTCTACTTTCTTTCATCCATGTTAATTCTGATTAGCGTTATAATGGATGCGTCAGAATTACTGGGAATCACTTTTGCAAGGCCATAGATGCTGTAATTCAAGCGATCTTAATGATTTTTTTTTTCGTGAAATAAACTTTTGAGTTTCTTGCAGTTGTTTCAGTGTTCTTGGTTATCAAATATGCCAAAATTGTTTTAGAATTGTTTTCTTTTTCGAACTAGTATTTTCAGAACAAAATAAGGTATCAAGAATCAATAATTAATGTATAATTTGTTTTGAGTGTGACTACATTTTAAAAAATGAGCATAAAGATGCTATAAAATGCCATTTTGTTCTGAAAATACTAGTTCGAAGGCCGCCAAAGAAACTAAAAAGTCAAAAAAGTCAAAAATATATAAAAATTTATGTCCTGCTAGGTTTTTATGAGTTTAAATTTTTATTATTTAATAGGTTGATGCATAAGTGTTTTTGTTCCTTTTCGTCTGCCGTTTCAAGCCAACAAATGCACCAATTAAACTACGGTTGATTTCATTAGAAAAACCAATTATTTTTGTGCAAAATAACATTAAAACGGGTTTAAAAATATTTAATGCCTGGATTTTCTTGAGAGTATGAAGTCGGGTAGTCAAAAAGGGCTAACTCAATGATGCGGTTTAGACACCTTAGCTAAAGAAAACCTATCTTCGTGTCAATAGATAAAGATAGAGAAAAAAAACGTTTGATATTTCGCCAAAATTTCAGAGAAATTCATTCAGCCAATTTTTCCGTAGAGTTTTTTATAGATTTTTACGAAAAAGGCGTTTTTCACTCTCGAATTTGCTTGAAAGTGAACCGAAATTCATTTAAAAAGATGCAAATTGAACAAAAAAACACTTTTTTTATAGAGCAAACTATAGATTAATTGGTGAATTTGTTACTTTTTAACAGAAGTACGAAAAAAAATGAAAAAGACTTTTGCATCAACCTAATAGTAGGAGTTCTTGGTCAAACCAGTAGGAGTTCCTGGTCCAACTAGTAGGAGTTCCTGGCCCAACCAATAGGAGTTCCTGGTCCAACCAGTAGGCTTGTGTCCCACCGGTTCCAACCGTTGTCCAACCGAGCAAGGCTTGACCTCGTTTAACTTGACTTGGACCTCGCTTAGCTTGGCCTCGCTTAGCTTGACCAGATCAGGCCCAAGTCAAGCAAAGTGAGGTTAAACCAGGTCAAATCAATTCCAAAGTATCCAAATCCATTCAAATCAATTCCAAATCAATTCAAATCCATTCAAATCTATTCCAAATCAATTCCAAAGTATCCAAATCTATTCAAATCAATTCAAATCAATTCAAATCAATTCAAATCCATCCAAATCAATTCCAAATCAATTCCAAATCAATTCAAATCCATCCAAATCCATCCAAATCAATTCCAAATCAATTCCAGTGTATCCAAATCAATTCAAATCAATTCCAAAGTATCCAAATACGAAGTACGAAAAAAACGAAAAGACTTATGCATCAACCTAATATATTTAAACTTTTTTATATTTGTAATTGATAAAAGTACCAGCCGATGTGTGACTCTGAACTTTGGTAGCTTCTATGAAAAAGCTGAGAGCATCAATCGCTTAGATAATGGGCACCGCTGCAAAAGATGTCAAAGGTTTATTGAGGTTGGTTGCCTCGCAAAAGTGACTCCGGGTAATTATGATGCATCCTGTAGGTAGGAAATCTTACTTCAATTGAGATCGCTTTTTGAACAATCGGCAGAAAGATCAACGAAGCTGTTGTAGAGACACCTGACGCCATTTGAAGCATCTGAATGAGAAAAGCAACCATGAACTTTGAATTAAAGAAACCATGAACTTTGAAAACTTTTCTTTATCTTTCTTTATCAATTGAGTCAATTAAAATCCAATATCAATCGATTAAAATCCGATTTCTAGCTAGCTAATCAACAAAATAGAAACATCATTTTTTTTTTTGATCGAACAATTGATTGTTTAATTGTTTACCATTTTTAATCTCAAGACTCAGTTATTTCAAAGCCTTTAGAAGGAAAAAGATGGTCATTTTTTCATTTTTTTCTTTACCTCATCGCCAATTTTCACCAATTCGGGTCGACTCGATGTAATGCGGAAGATTCGCGGCACACCGTACGGGTTATGAATGGGCAGCTTCTGAAAATCCAATTGATCAAATGATTTGATGGGTTTCGACGAGGATCTATTATGGGTTGGTGGAAAAATCCTTTCCCATTTTTTGGGGAGAGTACCTTAATTTTGTCGAATTTTGACTTTTTATAGCTCATCCTAAAGCTGAATTCAAGACGGATCGATTGGTAAAAACCGTTTTGAGATATCTCTTTTTTAAAAGTTTTTACAGCTATTTTAGTAAAGGGCGGCAGCAAAAATGGCTGTTTTCACGTTTCGTTAGTTTTCCGTGCAGAAACCTAGGCTAAAACCAAGCCTTCTAACAACATCAAAAAAAAGCCTTCTAACAACCTCAAAAAAAATGATAAAATAAAAAAAATGAGAAAAACGAAGGAAAATCACGAAAAGCGGCGGAAAGGCTATTGATCTGAGGGTCGCTGGTTCGACTTCCACCGGTGACAATATTTTTCAAAAATTTTTTGCTAAGATTCTGAAAATGCGTGTCTAGGGGTTATTTTTGACGCTGATCACGAAACACATGTTTTTAGCCTAGGTTTCTGCACGGAAAACTAACGAAACGTGAAAACAGCCATTTTTTGGTTCGGCCGCCCTTTACTAAAATAGCTGTAAAAACTTTTAAAAAAGAGATATCTCAAAACGGTTTTTACCAATCGATCCGTCTTGAATTCAGCTTTAGGATGAGCTATAAAAAGTCAAAATTCGACAAAATTAAGGTACTCTCCCTAAAAATCGGAAAGGATTTTTCCACCAACCCAATAGATTTTGCAATCAGCTCTTTGCAGTGTACTTTGTGTTCAAAGATTTGTAAACCCATCCTTTCTAGCGCACTCAGCTTTTCAGTTTTCTCTACGGCTTTGGTCACAAGAAAAAATGAAGAATTGAGTGCGCTAGAAAGGATGGGTTTACAAATTTTTGAACACAAAGTACACTGCAAAGAGCTGATGGCAAAATGCATCTAGATTCTCGTCGAAACTCATCAAACCATTTGATCAAGTAGATTTTCATCAAACCATTTGATCAAGTGTTTCAGCCCATAGTACAGCATAGCCTGAGTCAAGTCATAAGCCTCTCAAGCTATTCTACTCACTTTTATCCTTACCTTGTGCAACTCTTTCCGACAACTCAACGGGATCTTGATCTCGAATTGCTTGGTGATTTGCGGTTGGGTGGTCTAAAAAAGGTTTGTGTTTCAACCTTGATCAGTCTTTTGATGTACTTTATAAAGAAATGGATTCGGCCAAATACTGTGATATCATGACATCATACAAAACGAGAGGCTACCTCACGCACAAGCCAATATGAGAGCCCCTTTTAGGAACTTTGATTATAAGTAATCTTTGCGGGCTTTCAATTTAATTTACATTATTGTTAGACTTGGGCTAAATATTGGAGAGTGGGACAAATGCGACCTTTTTTTTTGTGCACCCGGACAATTGCACACCTTTTTTTTTCCGCACTTAGCCTATTAGCGCACCTTTTTTCGCGTTTTAAAAAAGCTCTAAAAGCTAATATTAACCAATTTCTATTCCAAAAGTTGTTTTTCTAGGTAATTTGAGGGTGTAGAATCGAAATTTTGGCATATCAGAGCTTGTGGAAACAAACGGACGGAGTTATACAAAGAGAAAAATCAACAATTTTCCGTAATTTGATCTAGCCGTTTTGTCTTTCAAATTGGTTCCACACGCTCTGATATGCCAAAATTTGAATTCGACACCCTCAAATTACCTAGAAAAACAACTTTTGGAACAGAAATTGGTTAATATTAGCTTTTAGAGCTTTTTTAAAACGCGAAAAAAGGTGCGCTAATGGGCTAAGTGCGGAAAAAAAGGCGCGCAAATGTCCGGGTGCGCAAAAAAAAGGTCGCATTTGTCCCACTCCCATCTTTTTGAATCCTATATTACAGTTCGCTCACTTTCGCATGCACCATCCATCCACCAAGCAGTTCTCTTGTCGATGTGTCGACGGCGGTCAACATTTGTAGCTCGTTTCCTTGAAATTTATGTGAAAATCTTGTTATATTTCCTCAAAAACAATCGGCTTTATTTGTTTATTATTTGTTTTGACCAAAAAATTTTTCTATCTAAATTTCTATTTTGTTTTCCAGAGTTATACAGAGAGAAAATCATTATCATTAAATTAAATTCATTAAATTTTTCCAAAATCCCTTTGAAACATTGTTTTTAGAGTGGTCTTTAAATCTCAAAAATCTCATTTTCAAAATAAAATTTTCACTTTAAAAGACCTAAATCAAATTTTTCAACATCCAATTGCTTTTTCAAATTTAACAAATTGAAAAATTGTTAAGGAATCTTGCTTTTCGAATAGTTTCATCTACTATATAAAGCAGAAGAGACGTCTGTCCATCTGTATGGCCGTCTGTCTGTCCGTCCGTCTGTCTGTCTGTTTGTCTGTCTGTTTGTTCGTCTGTCTCTTTGTCTGTCTGTCTCTTTGTCTGTCTGTCCATCTGTATGTCCGTCTGTCTGTCTGTCTGTCTCTCTGTCTGTCTGTCTGTCCGTCTGTCTGTCTGTCCATCTGTATGTCCGTCTGTCTGTTTGTCTGTCTGTCTCTTTGTCTGTATGTCCGTATGTATGTCCGTCTGTCTGTCTTCCCGTCCGTCTGTCTGCCCGTGTCTGTGCGCAGCCATTGGCAAAAAAGGGGCGGGGTTTAGATTTCGTGGAAAACCTGGACCTCCCCAGTGGATAACGCGAACGTTAGTAAGCGTTTTTCGCTGCTTTTTCAATAAGTCATTTTAAATTCCCATTTTCCAGCTCAAAAAAAACCATGTTTCACGTTAAACGAGCTTAACTGATTTTTTAGGGGATTTAATTACTCTTTGATAATTTCTCTATTATAATTTCTCTATTATAATTGCTCTATTTAATTAGTTCTCCTCTCAGCTCTACCCGTGCTTTCCGGTCGGAATTCCATCGAAATTTTCGTCTCTTCTGCATTCATCAACATCGGTTGCGAGACGCTTGGGAAAATTTGCGGTGAAGACGGGTAAAAATGGATGAGTTGCCGCTCAGTCGTTGATCTAATAGAAAAACAAATGATTGAACAAATTTTTCAACAGATATTTGTAAAATATGACCTCACTTGTTTCTGAGCTTTTTTAGAAACTTCTAAACTTTTTTTGACCGTTCAAACCAACTTTTTCATTTCAAGTGTGAAATGTGTCGTTTGTGAAAGAATTCCTTTGATCTCAAAGTGGCTGAAGGAGTGGATAGAAATCTGAAAAATTTGAAAATCTTTCAAGCACTTGAATAAGATTTACCGTAAAAACTCTAATAGAAGCCCTCTATAGGAACGTCTTGTAGTCTAGGTTTACTCTCAACCAGGCGCTCATATCTCGACAACAGTGCGTTTGTTGCTGCACGTTTAGGTATCAAATTAAAGTAGAGAGAATGGGTGATTTTTTTAGCTATAACACATATTTTCAGCACAAACCAGCGCTAAGAAAAAAATGATTGAAAATCGACGAAAATCGGCTCTTTTTTGCCACTTCTCAATCATTTTTTCTTAGCGCTGGTTAATGCTAAAAATATGTGTTATAGCTCAAAATATCACGCATTTTCTCTACTTTAATATGATACGCAAGTACGCAGAAACCGAGGTACTGATATCGAGATCTGAGCGTTTTTTTGAGAGTAAACTTTAGATTACACGACGCTCCTATAGGGCGGCCGTTCTATTAGAGTTTTAAAGGTAAACTGGCAGGGTCCAATGCCCAAGAGTTCAAAGTAAAGTAATAAATGCTTGCAATGTTTAAATGATTTAAATCTCTTATACCAAAAATCGACTTTTGCGTTAAGAGCATTTTGTGACTAGAAGTAAGTTTTGCAAGACTAAAACGACGATTTTGAAACCCAGCCTTTCCCCTTGACTCGCCTGCCAAACTCCGATCTGTCGATAGGCGTGCGAGTCGGCGTAGAAAAGCACCAGAAATTGCTTGCTCGTGCAACTCTGACCGCAGAAAGCCTAAAAATTTCAAATTCAGTTATTTTTATTATCGTATTCAAGTATTTCTTAACCCATTCGAAACCGCAGCGTTTTTTCCTTTTTTTCGTCTACGGATCAAGCCCTTTTTTTTGAGATTTTTGACTCCGAAGCAGTTTATTTACGGTTGGAAAGATGTAAGAGAGTCTCCTACACCATTTATTTTTGATGAAGAACGATTTGGATTTGACTTCAGTACTTTTCAAGATCCTATCGATTATTGTTCTTATTGGGTTGTCCAGTTATGAATGCGCGTTTTTACTATTTTGTAAATTTCTCAAGATATCGAACAGATCTATATTAGTGTTATATATCATTCGAAAGCTGAAGATCTCCTCTACATTTTGATATAAAAAGCTTTGGAATTTGTTCAGCTTTTGGGCAAATTGATTGCACAAAGGGAGAGGTCGTTTTCGAAAAAACCGATTTCAGTTTAGCTATTCCTCAAGTTTTATGGTGTAAAATAACCGCCCAGAAAAGAAAATTAAAGATGCTCTGAAGTTGTTATATTTAAAAAGGTTATATTGATATATCTATTGGCCAAACATCAAACGGTTAACTCAATTTTAGCGGAGCCAAAACTTGATCCAAAGGTACCCTTCCATTTTTTTGGCCACCTCTTCTTCTGTGCAGTCAATTTGCTCAAAAGCTCGACAAATTCAAAAGCTTTTTATATCAAAATGTAGAGGAGATCTTCAGCTTTCGAATAATACTCATATATATCTTTTTCTTGATTTCGGTATCTTGAGAAATTTACAGAATAGTAAAAAGCGCGCATTCATAACTGGACAACCCAATATTTTATCGACGACAATATTTTAGTAGGCGAATCTAATAAACATGGAAAAAGGAAAACAAACTGGCAGGATTTCGATGCAAAATCTTTCAAGCTCTTCCTGGCTTCAAATGGGAATCGTCAAATTACCGAGGATTCGTGACTACTGGAGTAGCAGGCCTGGATTAGGAGAATTTTCCCACATGTCCCACATTATGTCAAGAGCAAAATTTGAATCTATTCTTCGCAACCTGCGTTTTTGTGAGAATGAACTGGATCCTGCAGGAGATCGGCTTTATAAGATTAGAGCTAGTATGGAACATTTCAATGCAAAACCAGAGACTGCATTGATTCCGGGTAAATATGAAACATCTTTTTTGTCCACGTAATTTGTAGATCTGCTACAATCGGAATATACATGTAATGCTGAAAAACAGCAGAAAAAAAAAGCAATTAATTGAATGAAAATAGCTCAATTAGCGCTGCAGCGAATAATCGCTGCAGCGGTCCGTTCCTGAGTTTTTGCTGCAGCGATTATTCGCTGCAGAAGTTTCGAATGGGTTAATATTTTTGATTGATTGATTGATTCTCCGTGATTGATTCCCCTTTTTTGCCTTAAATCTTAATTATTTTGAAACTAAAGTTTTCAAAAAGTAAAAAATCTTTAATTTTAAGTCTAAATTAGCTCTAATATTTAAAGATTTACAAATTTTTAGACAAATTCTAACTTTTTAAACTTAAATTTAACATTTAAATGCTATTTTAACTTTTGATAAAACTTAAAACACGTTAAAACTGTTTTAAGGTTGATTTATCAAAAAAAAAAGGTTGTTTTAACCTTTTTTTTGATAAATCCAGTCAATTAGAAATTGAAAATTGAAAAATGAAAGCCGCTAAAATTGAAACTCAAACTTTTAACGTCAAAAAGAGCAATGTTTTCTTGTTTTAAAGCAATTTTTAAATGATTTAAATCTAATTTTAAAGCATTTGATCGAATTTAATGGGGCATTTGTGCCAATCAAAAGTAAAAAGCTGCCTTCTTTCAGCTGCCTTCTTTCAGCTGCCTTCTTTCAGCTGCCTTCTTTCAGCTGCCTTCTTTCAGCTGCCTTCTTTCAGCTGCCTTCTTTCAGCTGCCTTCTTTCAGCTGCCTTCTTTCAGCTGCCTTCTTTCAGCTGAAAGAAGTCTAAAAGAAGTCATTCTTTGTCTAAGTTAAAACTAAATTTCTCAAAAGCCAAAGAAGGGTTTATTTGATTTTTTTTTTCTAGCATTTTATTAATGCTTAGTCCAAACATTAAACTGCTAACTTAGAAATCTTCTATCTATTAGCAATTCAGCCATTTCATCCTCAAAATTCGAAACATTACCGTCAAGCACAAATCCTGTTCGACGCCCGAATTCCTCAGTGCGACTTTCACTGTCGGATCCGAGCATTTCATCAAAATGGGTCTGGGTTTACCTAAAAAATTTCATCTTTCAAATAGAATTTACGCCATTTTCTTCACCTTCAAATCCTCTTAATCTGATGATTTTGCTCAAATTCGAGTGTTCTTCACCGAAAAAGCGCATTGATTTGTGCAAAATGTAGGGACGATGCTCGATTGTCAAATGGAGAATCGACAATGGCTCCAGTGAAGGGAAACGTTTGAAAATTGCCTGAACTGGGGTTTTTTTTTGGTTTTTAGATTATTTAAATGTTTGCTTCATTTAGTTCTTCTTTATAAAAACATGATTTTTTGGGAGTTTAGTGCAAAAAAGTGGTCAAAATGGTGTCTTTAAGGGCAAAATTTGAAACTGCACTTTGAAAGCTCAAGCTACAGTAATCCAAGCTACAGTTACCCAAGCCACAGCAATCCAAGCCACAGCAATCCAAGCCACAGCAATCCAAGCCACAGCAATCCAAGCCACAGCAATCCAAGCCACAGCAATCCAAGCTACAGCAACCCAAGCTACAGCAACCCAATCTACAGCAACCCAAGCTACAGCAACCCAAGCTACAGCAACCCAAGCTACAGCAACCCAAGCTACAGCAACCCAAGCCACAGTAATCCAAGCTACAGCAACCCAAGCCACAGTAATCCAAGCTACAGTTACCCAAGCTACAGTTACCCAATCTACAGTTACCCAAGCTACAGCAATCCAAGCACTTACCTTTGTCTGCGTGATTTGTCCGTCCGTGTGATTCGAGCTTTTCAGATCCTCGTACAAGAATGGCACGTACAAAGCCTCTTTTGGTTTAAGAAATATCGTGGTCTGAAACATTGAACTATATCCTCCCGAAGAAATCCTTCAAAAAACATTAACCATATTTAAAAGAAACAAAAACAAGTTAAAATCCTTTACCCAATTTTTAAAAAATCAAATGAAAACCTGTCCATTTTGCCCGGTTCTGATGAAATCTTTCTCCAGCGGTGTCTCCAAATTGTGAACTTTCTTGTAGAATGCCCAATCGTCGGCATTTGAAATGATTCTAGAATTTTTACGATTCAGTAAAGATACTCAGCCTTACCGTAAGCCGGGCTCCTCGATGTCCACCGAGCAATTGATCGGCTCGGGGAAAGTGTTGTGCAGGAGGAACTCAAAGAAAATCGACTCTCCAATTGATGAATAGATTCTGGAAAGAGTAAGGCTCAATATATTAAAAAAAAATACAATTCTTTGTGATCCTTAAAAACTACTAGGCTTTTGATTCAAATTCTCTTGAAATCGAACTCAAATCGCCGTAGAGCTTCAAAAATGTTTTCATATAAGGGAATCGTATGCGTAGATTCCGAATTTCGACAAATCAGACCTCGCTGATACGTCAAATTTGGGCTAAAAGGCAAAAACTGCGGAAAAGCGTTAAGTTGCGTAGTTTTTGCCTTTTAGCCCAAATTTGACGTGTCACGAGGTCTGATTTGTCGAAATTCGAATCTACGCATACGATTCCCTTCTCTGAAAACATTTTTGAAGCTCTACGACCTTTCCTAAGACCTTTACCAGCAAAAAAAAAGGTGCGCAAATGTCCAGGTGCGCAAAAAAAGGTCGCATTTGTCCCACCCCCCAAATCGGGTTCAAAAAGATTCAAAAAATCAAATTTGATCTTTTTTATTTAGTAAAATTATAAGTTGATAGTTTCGTTACGTATTTTGAAGCTGGCTGATCAAAAGTTTCAAAAAAAAAACTTGTTAAAGTTGAGGCTGAAATGGCAAGTTTCAAATTTCGACATATCATGGGAATAGTTGAGGTTTTAATTCGACGCCCTAGTCTTCATAACTCTAACGCTTCTTCTAATCTTGTAAATTTAATTATAAACTATAGAATGTCATTCATCCTTTTCTTTTTGTTTAATTTGAAACCTGTGCTCCGTTGTGATCCCCTTGAACAGCGTGTGCAATAAACGACCGGCTTTGCTTTCGTTTCGCAACTTCTTATACGCTTCCAATTCAGTGTCAAACACGAATTTCCTCACCATTTTCTGCAATGAAGATAAATTTTAAAAATTGAAATGATTTAGAAGAAAAAGTCGATCCTTATTTGTTCTTAATTGATCAGACAAAAGATCAGACAAATTGATCAGATCAGTTTTCTGGTCCAGTATAAATTGAAACATGGTATTTGTATCTCTTCTTTATGTACCAGTAACCAAGCTTGTGGCCAGAGACGTATCTTGTAGCTTGTAGCCAAAGACGTAGCTTGTAGCTTGTAGCCAGAGAAGTAGCTTGTAGCCAGAGAAGTAGCTTGTAGCCAGAGAAGTAGCTTGTAGCCAGAGAAGTAGCTTGTAGCTTGTAGCCAGAGACGTATCTTGTAGCTTGTAGCCAGAGACGTAGCTTGTAGCTTGTAGCCAGAGAAGTAGCTTGTAGCCAGAGAAGTAGCTTGTAGCTTGTAGCCAGAGACGTAGCTTGTAGCTTGTAGCCAGAGACGTATCTTGTAGCTTGTAGCCAGAGACGTATCTTGTAGCTTGTAGCCAGAGACGTATCTTGTAGCTTGTAGCCAGAGACGTATCCAGAGACGTATCCAGAGACGTATTTTTCAAAAGCTTGCCCCCCGAAATCAAAGCTTTTTTGAAAGAAAATTTGTGTGTCATCTTACTGGATAGTCCTTTTCTTTTAAAATTGCATTTTTTTTTTCAAAAAGGTTTCATTTTTCTTTAAAAAAAGTCGTATCTTCAAGAATCTACCATTTTTTACTTTCATTGTAAGAATTGTTTCTGACTTCGGGCTTGCCAGCAATTATTTTACTTCAAAAACTCTTATTCTAGTCATGCTGATCGCTTTTTTTTAGTCTAATTGAAAACTGAAATAACGCTTTTACCGAAATGCTTAAGAAACTAGTCAAAAATCATTTTGATTCGAATTCGACAAATTTGAAATCAATAATTTATTTCTTTTGTGGGGTAGGCTACTTTGCGCCAAATTTCTTGCGCAACTGGGTCATTTGCGCAACTCGCCATAACTTTCTGCTAAGTCGCCCAATCTTTATGATGCTGGTTTCATTTTGTTGCGCACTTATTGAGATCTACAAAATGAAACCAACATCATAAAAATTGGCCCACTTAGAAAAAAGTTATGGCGAGTTGTGCAAATGATCCTGTTGCGCAAAAACAATCGCGGAAATTAGCCTACCCCATCAGTGGCCGTCCTGGGCAGCTACGCAGAAAATTTGAGGCACGTTTTAGGTTCATTATATCAAAGTTTTCAATCACGAACGATTAGTTATATCGATGTTCGACTGTATCTGAAAAAAGAGCCAATAATCTAGCCGGGATTGAACCGCAACTTTTTTTTGCGCAACAGGATCATTTGCACAACTCGCCATAACTTTTTTCTAAGTGGGCCAATTTTTATGATGTTGGTTTCATTTTGTAGATCTCAATAAGTGCAACAAAATGAAACCAAAATCATAAAGATTAGCCCACTTAGAAAAAAAGTTATGGCGAGTTGCGCAAACGACCCAGTTGCGCAAATGACCCTGTTGGGTTTTGCGTTTGCGCAACTCGCCATAACTTTCTTCTAAGTGAACCAATCTTTATGACTTTGGTTTCATTTTGTTGCACTTATTGAGATCTACAAAATGGCACCAAAATCATAAAGATTGGCCGATTTATAAGAGAGTTATGGCGAGTTGCGAAAATGACCCAGTTGCGCAAGAAATTTGGCGCAAAGTAGCCTACCTCCTTTTTTTTCTCTGCTAAGAAAATATATTAAGTACGCGAAAGTAAATGATCAAGAACTAAGAAAATCTGATTAAGAAGTATGCAAATTTTCTGGTTTCTAAAAGACTAGAGTTACACTCAAAATTTACGGCCTAATAAAGCCTAATAAAGGTGTTTTTGCAACTCCAACATTTAAAACTTATAGTTAGACTAGCCTAAAGACAAAGCAAACAAAGCAAATAAAGCCAACAAAATACTTTCGCATTTCATAAACTCAGCAATCTCTCACCTCATTTTTGCTATTCGTGAAATCGTAGTTTCCTTTCAGTTTCTCTTGTTGTTCCAAGTTTTCCAAATTGTTCGAATCAAATGCTTCAGCGTATCGTTGTGAAATGTCGAGTCTGAAAGGGTTGGGAACATCTAATGTTGGGAACATCTAAGTCTGAAAGGTTTGGGAACATCTAATGATTTCAAATCTTAATCATAGTTATTTGAAATTGAAAAATGATCTCTATAAAGTAATCTAGCTTTTAAAAATAAAAGCTGAACTTAAAAAATAGGGCTCTACAAAGCTTTTTAATGTTTTTTTTGTGCTTAAAAATCACCTCTGTGCATACAGAAAACGCTGTAGAGCGTTCTCGTGCGCTGGATTGAGTGGACGGACGCGGATCTGAATAAAATTTTGTTTAAAACCAATTTAAATCGATCTTGACTTGGCTTTGTTTCATTTTATTGGATTAGTGGGTATGACTTGACACGTTTCTTCAAATCAAAATCCCAGAAATATAAAGAAACATGTGAGAGAAGCTTGTGAAAAGTAGGTAAGGGAACATTCACTCTTTCACAATGGACTTTCACTTTTGATGTACAATAAATTCTCTAATCGAACACCACCTCGTCGTACTGTCACGTAGTCACTACTACTACTGTCACTTCTTTTTAGAAAATCATTTATCTCTTCCCCTAGATTTTTCCCAACTACACTTTTGGTTTCAAAAATACTAGATTTCAAGGGCTATCATTTGACATTTGTAGCATAAAGAAGCGCGGAGAACGGACGCTTAACGTTAGACTACGTGACTGTACGCCCGTCATTATGGAGCTGGCGTTCTATTAGAGTATTTACGGTAGCATTAAGTCAGTAATTCTGAAACAAATAAATCAATTGAGCTGCTAGTTTGTAGTTTGTACATGTAAAAAGAGGAATTACTTGCAAAGAAATTTAAATGGCACAACTACAATATATTCTAAGGTTTTTCTAAAAAATTTTAGGTTTATTGGTCAAAACACGGTTGAAAAAACGCCCGTACAGAAATACATTGCTCTTTTATATAGGAAAAAGCTTTTTGCTTCCAGAAGCCCTTAGAAATAGATTGATTGGAAACATAATACAGTTGACTCTAACGGAACTCTACAGGGTGCGCCAAAAGCTCCCGTCCTCGTATTTTCTGCATGTTTGGTAATTTTAGATAAAAGATACGATTTTAAAAGTAAGAAGTTCGAATTGCTCGCGAAAAACTGATTTATTTGAACCATATTCGAACCATATTGGAATCGTATTGGAACCATATTGGAACCATATTGGAACCATATTGGAACCGTATTCGAACCAAATTGGAACCGTATTCGAACCATATTGGAACCATATTGGAACCGTATTCGAACCATATTGGAACCATATCCCAACCAAATTGGAACCGTATCCGAACCAAATTGGAATCATATTGGAACCGTATTGGAACCATATCCGAACCATATTGCAACCGTATCCGACCAGGGCACAGTTACTGGGCACAGTTACTGGGCACAGTTACTGGGCACAGTTACTGGGCACAGTTACTGGGCACAGTTACTGGGCACAGTTACTGGGCACAGTTACTGGGCACAGTTACTGGGCACAGTTACTGGGCACAGTTACTGGGCACAGTTACTGGGCACAGTTACTGGGCACAAAAAACGAGCTAATCCATCCACACCAAGGCCACTAACAAAAAAAATCGAAATGCAACTTGGATTCTTTTGAAACATTGAAATTTTCAACCTTAAACGATTCGCCCGGTTCGCTCAGCTTTTGCAGTCTTTTCGAGACAATCGCCGGGTTTTTTGACTCGACCAAATCTAAAATCATTGCTTTTTTTATGGAAAATGAAGCAGTTAAAATGAACATTCATCAATATCATTTTTAAATGTTAAAAATTTGTGTCAAAGTTGAACTTCCAAATTCCGTTACGAGTCTCGGAGTTTGGGAACTTTTCGATTTTAACTTTTCGAATCTATAATTCGACTTCCAATGATCAGATCGACTTAAGGTTGATTTTAAAATGATCCTTATTAAATTTGCTTGTAAAAAACTACGATTTATGACACGTCAAATTTGGGCTAAAAGGCAAAAACTGCGGAAAAGCGTTAAGTTGCGTAGTTTTTGCCTTTTAGCCCAAATTTGACGTGTCAGCGAGGTCTGATTTGTCGAAATTCGGAATCTACGCATACGATTCCCTTCTCTGAAAACATTTTTGAAGCTCTACGACCTTTCCTAAGACCTTTACCAGCAAAAAAAAGGTGCGCGAATGTCCAGGTGTGCAAAAAAGGTCGCATCTGTCCCACCCCACGTCCGCGCGAAATAAGGCGAAAAATGCGATCGCCGTTAAACTTGCTCACGGTAAGTGCTATTTGATGCGAAAAAATGTCCTGAATTCAAATTTGAAAGAATTTTTCGAATCCGTCTGACACATTTTTTTTAAATCGAAAAAAATCGAAAAAATCACTATTTTTCCATATAAACGTCAAAATTGCCTTTACATAGTTTTGATTCCAACTGATGACCCCTCTACCTGTAAAACACAAATCATTCGTTGAAATCAAAATTATGTAAACAATAAGAAAAGAGCCGAAATTTTGATTGAAGTGAAGAAAAACCAAAAGAATTGAAAAAATTCATAAAAACGCGTTTGTTTGTTTTATAATTTTGTTTTTTTTAATAGTTCCGGTAGTTTACCCACGCTTTAGCGCGCAGAAAGTTGAAAAACGCTACTTTTGCGTTCAAAAGGCATCAACTTTTTACAGATTCACCCAATTGATCTCGTTTTGGTGTCAAAATGTGCACAAGACCCTTGAGCATAAAGTTTGGTATATGACGCTCACCAAAATTTCCTTTTTGCCGAGAACCAGCCTGTAAAAGAGAGGCAATTTTGACGTTTATATGGAAAAATAGTGATTTTTTCGATTTTTTTCGATTTAAAAAAAATCTGTCAGACGGATTCGAAAAATTCTTTTAAATTTGAATTCAGGACATTTTTTCGCATCGAATAGCACTTACCGTGAGCAAGTTTAACGGCGATCGCATTTTCGCGCGGATGTGCACCCCCCATACAAATCAATAAACACAGCCTCAGCTGTGTATTCTTTCTCATTTTTCTTTTACGCTAATTTCTCATCATTTTTCGATGATTTTGATTCCGATTTTATGCAAGATAAACCCACCTTTTCTGCCACTGAATCAACTAACACTCGATATATTTTATTGCCTACAAAAGTCCAACACATCGGACTAGTCTCAACAATATTGGTGCGCAGTCCGGGAATCGAACCCAGCCTGGTGAGCATTCTACCATTTGAACCAACTGTTGGGATTCTACCATTGAACCAACTGTTGGGATTTTACCATTGAACCAACTGTTGGGATTCTACCAATCGAACCAACCAACTCTTCACTAACTAGTTGAAGATATAAGTACCAATTTGATTGCTGCTTGGGTGGCCGATACATGCGAGTCGAACGAAAAGGAGTCCGGTTGTCTGAAAGAATAAAAATTGATTTCGGTATACAATTTCGGTATTTGCTGATGCTGCTGATGCTTTCAAAAAAACAAAATTTATTTATAGACTATCCGTTATCAATCAGAAAGAATATTGTTTTTTGAATTTAAAAATTTCGGTTCTTTTCCGTTATAAATCCGCAAAAATAACCCTTGATCATTTCCGTTATAAATCCGCCAAAATTTTGAATCCTTTCGTGAAAATGAACAAGGAAAACCATAGAAAATTCATTCTTTTGCTATTTCATGACGACGCGGAGAATGTTTCGTTTACCGACTACCAAGGCCGATGCAATCTCGTTCTTTCAACAACGCCGCATCTTTCTTATTACTCGCACATGCGCCAACCATCACGTTATGAAGCTATTGCTTAATCAGAATCATCGATGGAGATGTAACAATTTAATATTTCTTTTTTTTTGATTATTAAATGATCAAGGGTTATTAGATTAGTTTTCAGTGATTAGTTTTCAATGACTAGCTTCCAGTGATTAGTTTTCAGTGATTAGTTCTCAGTGATTAGTTTCTTATCAATCATTTTTTTAACGGAAAACTACCAAGTTTCAAAAGTGTTTCAGTTTAGTTTCAAAAGTGATCAGGGTAAATTTAACTTTATGTTTCAGAGCCAAAATACATTTAAAACCAATTTTTATGCTTTACTATGTCTAGTTATGAACAAAAAACACAAAAATAATGAAGGGGAAATCGACCAAAAAAAACGACTTTTTGTTATGACCTTTTTGACCGTAAAGTTCAATTTAGCCGGGAGATTAGTTTTCAATGATTAGTTTTCAGTGATTAGTTCTCAGTGATTAGTTTTCAGTGATTAGTTTTTAGTGATTAGTTTTTAGTGATTAGTTCTCAGTGATTAGTTCTCAGTGATTAGTTCTCAGTGATTAGTTCTCAGTGATTAGTTCTCAGTGATTAGTTCTCAGTGATTAGTTCTCAGTGATTAGTTCTCAGTGATTAGTTCTCAGTGATTAGTTCTCAGTGATTAGTTCTCAGTGATTAGTTCTCAGTGATTAGTTCTCAGTGATTAGTTCTCAGTGATTAGTTCTCAGTGATTAGTTTTCAGTGATTAGTTTTTAGTGATTAGTTCTCAGTGATTAGTTCTCAGTGATTAGTTCTCAGTGATTAGTTCTCAGTGATTAGTTTTCAGTGATTAGTTTTTAGTGATTAGTTCTCAGTGATTAGTTTTTAGTGATTAGTTCTCAGTGATTAGTTCTCAGTGATTAGTTCTCAGTGATTAGTTCTCAGTGATTAGTTTTCAGTGATTAGTTTTCAGTGATTAGTTTTCAGTGATTAGTTTCTTATTAATCGTTTTTTCTAAAAGTACCGTTTACGAACACGAAAAGTATTAAATTTACTTTTCAGATTGCACGCACACCTTTGGTATTAAATTTTTCTTTTTGTAAGGCACAATTCAAATTTTGAAACACTCCTTTTCCCAACCTTTGGCGCTTCCGGTAACGCTCTCTGAATGATTTGGCATTGAACGAGTGATTGCACTGATTCGAGTCCATTTCGGAGTAGACACTAAAGTACGAATGATAAAAGAAAAGTTTTATTAGAAAATTCTATTAGAAAATTTTATTAGAAAATTTTTTATTAACCTTGTAAAAGGAAAATTTTATTGGCAAGACTTTCACTGCTTTCACTTTGTTTTGTTTGAAACTTTAACGTTAAAACAACCTTAAAACAACCTTAAAACAACTTTAAAACAACTTTAAAACAACTTTGATACAACTTTAATACAACTTATCATTTGTTATTTTGTTATTTGACTTTTTGTTACTTGTTACTGTTACTCTTTTACCTTCAAACTCAAATCGATCGTTCCAATTAGTTGAAGTGAATCCGCATCCCAGGCATCGATTTGGAGAGGGTTTTCATCGAGAAATTTCACGAATTCGAGCGGATCACTTGGCGAAAGCGAGGATCGATCAACGGTCAAACGAACCTGCAAATTGAAAGATCTATATGTCGTAGCTGATTATGAATGAAATTTTTTGGTAAATCTTTCTAGTAGAGCAACCCTTTAATGTATGAGGACAATATTATATCATCTTGTAGCGAATTAAATTCTGCGTCGATTGGTGCCAAATTTGTGAGTTTAGGTTAAAAATTACCGGCGCTACAACGTTTCATTCAAAATCGGCGGGACCCCCGTAGCCGATTATGAATGAGTGGGTCTAGGAGCGTCCAACCATCAAGTATTTGGTATCATTCAACGCAGAATCATTAATAATTATGTTAAATTTTTAAAATTAGAAAGATTTGATAAAAAGAAAAAAAATTAGAGCAAAAGAACTGTTTGTTCAAGAGGAAACTTTGAAGCTCCATAATTTTTTTTCTTTTTATCCAATCTTTCTAATTTTAAAAATTTAACATAATTATTAATGATTCTGCGTTGAATTATACCAAATACTTGATGGTTGACGCGTCCGACCCGCTCATTCATAATCGGCTGAAATTGATAATCGGCTACGATGTCGTAGCCGATTATCAATTTAAATATTATCAATATTTAAGAAAATTGAAATTTCGAACACAATTTGCCATGTTTTGTGCTTTTATTCTTTATTTGTCTTGCCAATTTGAGTCAATTTGATTTATCTAATCAAATTGACCTGTTATTGAAGTGAGTGTTTCAAAGAAAAGTACTTTAAGACGTCCGATGAATTCTAATCAAGCTTAGCAAATCAGTTTAATTTCTTTTTTTGCTAAAAGTTTAGACAAAGAATATCCAAATTGTAATGCAGTTTTTTTTAAAATTTTCTACCATAAACCCGAAACCATCGTCGATTAAAAGTTGATCCTGTTGATTGAGTCTTTTCAAAAGTCCCGGCTCACTTGCAGATTCCCCATCGATTAGCAATCTGAAAAGATTTGATTTGATTAGATTTGATGGGCTTTGGTTAGTTTGGATTGGTTTAATTTGGATTTGATTAGTTTTATTTTGATTTTTTTCATTATTCTTGATTGGATTTGGTTTTTTTTGCCATTTTTGATTGGATTTGATTTATTTAGCTTTAATTAGCTTTGATTAGCTTTGATTGGATTTGATTAGCTTTGATTAGCTTTGATTGGATTTGATTAGCTTTGATTAGCTTTGATTGGATTTGATTAGCTTTGATTAGCTTTGATTAGCTTTGATTGGATTTGATTGGATTTGATTAGCTTTGATTGGATTTGATTGGATTTGATTAGCTTTGATTAGCTTTGATTGGATTTGATTGGCTTTGATTAGCTTTGATTAGCTTTGATTGGATTTGATTGGATTTGGTTTGTTTTGATTTGATTTGTTTTGGTTATTTTTGATTGGTTTTCATTGGATTTGATTGAATTTGATTCATTTTGATTGAATTTGGCTAGTTTTAATTTGATTTGATTCGTTTTGATTAAATTTGGTTAGTTTTAAGTTGATTGGATTAGTTTTGATTGAATTTGGTTAGTTTTATGTTAATTTGATTCGATTTCGTTAGTTTTAACTTGATTTGATTAGCTTTGATTTGATTTGTTTTGATTATTTTTGATTGGTTTTCATTGGATTTGATTGAATTTGATTCATTTTGATTGAATTTGGCTAGTTTTAATTTGATTTGATTAGTTTTAATTTGATTCGATTAGTTTGAATTTGATTTGCTTAGCTTTGATTGAATTTGGTTAGTTTTATGTTGATTTGATTCGTTTTGATTCGATTTGACAGATTTTGATTAGTTTTGATCTGATTTGACGGGCTTTGCTTAGTTCACAAGTTCATAGATAATAATTTGTAAGCTAACTGTAACATAAACACAATGCAAGCAAGCATATAACGAAAAAACCATTAATCATTCACACACCACCAACTTTGAAACATTCAATTGCATAAGGTTTCTAACGATTTTCTTAACAGCAGATTTTCCAACGGCTCACTTTGACTATATGTGCATTCTTTTTAAAATTTTACTCCATAAATTCTCGTGCTCATTCTTTCTGATTCAATTTGTGTTAATAGACATCTACACTACTGGACAATGAAATATGATATTTGAAAAACGATCGTCACTTTCGCGCGTCTGTAACTCCCTTGTCTTTACCGTATTTCTAAATATTAATATTACCATTGTATAGCCCTTGAAAAGAGCTTTCAGAAAATGTATAACACTAATAGTTTAAACTCAAAGACAAGGGAGTTACAGACGCGCGAAAGTGACGATCGTTTTTCAAATATCATATTTCATTGTCCAGTACTGTAAATAAGAAGAAATCAAGTAAACTCATGGGATAAGAACTAGGGCAGAAACCGAACTCAACTCAAGTCATAGAAAAGTCTTCAGAATCTCTTGCTAATTCCATGAAAAACAACAACGACAAGCATCAAACCGCCAAAAGAGAAGTAAAAAAATTATTGAAGGATCCTTACCACCTACCGTGCATTGCCTCACTCAACTCAACGTTTACCCGATCTCTTTTTGAAACATGAATGTCTCAAATATCCAAGTCACTTATGGGAAATGATAAAATAAAACAGAACCAAGATTACGATGATTTTCAAAAACTAACGCGTTTCATAAAGGCTTTATTTCGAAGTCATTATTGAAAACTAGTAAAATTCATGCCTTCATGCTGAGAAAACTCATGTTCAGTCGAGAAAAACCTTGAATTTTTTCTAAAAAACTACTAACAACTACTAATTAGTGTTATGTTAACAAATAAACAATCTTAATTTACTCTTAATTAAAGTTGTTCGGAACTTCTTCCGATAAAGTTTATTTCTCTTTGAAATCTATCGATCAATGTTCCCTCTGAATCATCCTTTTCCTCCAAAATCTTTCCAGCCATAAGCTAGCCAAAACAGACATTTCTAAACATTTCCCCCTCAACTTTTCTGTATGTAAACCCTTCTGTGCTTTAATAAATATTCTGCCTGAACCATGGGATAGAGACACATCTTATCCCGAACAAAAGTTAACAAAAAATTACTGTTAGTGATTTTTTAGAAAAATGCATAACTATGCTTTTTCTATGGGTTAGAGGTGTTACTAAAACACTGCTTGAAATTTTCCCGAAAATGGCTGAGCGACACTTATTTTTGTTTTTCTAGCATCCTTGGGGTGGATCTTAACCAAATAAGTCACAAAAATTTCATTCTGGAAAAACTCCTTATACTCCTTATTTTCCCCCATCTTTTGTGTTAGCTCAACTACTTGAGCTATAGATCCATGGCTTTAAACATTTTTTGTTTGCTTTTTTTGTTTCAATAATATATTTAACGTTTTATAGGTAGCGAATCAAGATAGATAGATACTTGATTCAGGACAGGAAATAAAGTGCGCAAGATTTAAGATTAATAGATTTAAGAGCACGTGTGGCTGACTGGTTAAGTGTCTTTTATCTTAATCGGAAGGTCGAGGGTTCGAACCCCACATGCGACATGGTCACCCCCTTCGGATTTCCTTTCCCTTCGGGTTGAGAGGTTTTCTGGAGGGCAGTCTGGTGGTTGTGGCCCCAGTTCTTTAAAGTGACAAGCCACTCCTTCATCGTCATCTTTCCTTCACCACCAAAAAAGCTATTTAGTTCCCCATTGAGCTTAGGGTTAGGGAGCCGTCTGTCATGACGTGGGTTAAGTTAAGATATAGCCTAGTATTGTGTGTGTCGTTGTATTGTGATTGATATATTTCGTGTATGCGATAAATTCACCACTGGTAGCCCCAGTCGGTATTTTAATACACATAAGCACGAAAAGGACCGATAAAAAGCAAAACGATAACTAACGGTAACTGAGCACGCATTTTACTAGTTGCCCACTTTATATCATCGAGCTTGACATTGAGCTTGACATCATTGAAATGCCGTTTCAACTTTTGGCTTATCACTTTTGAAACACAAACTATCCTCATTAATAAAAAAAAGTCTCACCTCTCTGTGGTCACTTGGGGGAAACGATAAAATTGAAAAGTGAAGAAAACTTTTCGACCACCCGATAGATGAGCGAAGCGATTTAGCCTGATATTAGAGTTTTTTTGAAAATTCAATTCAATTCACTTAAGTTAAGTCACTTTTTAAGAAATTCGACTAACATAAACTAAACTTTGATAAACTAAATTTGATTTTTAAAGAAGTAATTGACATTTTTTTTTTTGTTTATACAAACCATTTGAAAGCCATCAACTGAACGACAATCTCATTCGTGTCCAAAGGATCATTCTTTTCAATAACTTCATTCAATTTTCCCCCCGTCGGCTCGACACTCTCTGGAATTTCGCCGTTTCGATCGAGGATTTGCGGGAACTAAAATTGATCAATGATAACAATTTTAGCAGCTTAGTAATTTAATCTTGCTTTTAAGAACATATTGGAAACGTATTAGACCCGTATTGGAACCGTATAGGAACCGTATTAGATCAAAATAGGAACCGTATTGGACCCGGATTGGAACCGTACTGGAACCGTATTGGAACCGTATTAGATCAAAATAGGAACCGTATTAGACCCGTATTAGACCCGTATTGGAAACGTACTGGAACCGTATTGGAACCGTATTGGAAACGTATTGGAACCATATTGGAACCGTACTGGAACCGTATTACGTATCATATTGCTTTTAAGAACGCTGAAACGATGGCCATTAAATCACTGAAACTCGAATTCACTCTACTTTCTTTGAAACTCAAAAAAATCGATCGATTGACATCGATCGACAATTTGGATCAATTTAAGTGTTGCAGATCCTACAGCAATGTTATTTTCATTTAAAAATAAAGCGAACAAATGTTAGGAAAATCGAGATCTCATTGTAAAGTCAGATTTCAGTTTTGTAAAAATAATACTGACAAATTTAAAGGCAAAAGTTTTTCTAAAAATTTAGCGTACTGCGACTCATTTTATTGAGTTTACCGTTTAAAACTCGAGTTTAATTGATCTATTTGTCTTTGATTGATTTATTCCTTTACCTCTTTCCTCAGTAACAATGAATGAATCGATCGGGGCACCGTTGCACCTCTGAAATCCTTTTTTCTTGAATCATTTAGAAATCTTTTGAAACTTGGCAACTCCGGGCATCACAACAAAATCCTTTTCTTGATCATTTCGTGGAGATTGAATGAAAGATCGATCGATTACTTTGTCGATTTGTTTATCGAAAGAAATCTGATGAAAATTCGGAGATGTTGGACTTTTCTGAAAGTAAAATGGCGATATTTAATGTGGGGAAATTGAAATTGAAATTGAAATCAAAATTGAAATCAATAAACCTTCTCAATGGTGCCCATTTTGAAACAAGTTTTTTTAAAAACAGCCTTTTTCTCTTAAAATTGTATTTTTGTGTGTGTAAAAAGCAAGAACTCAAGGAGAAAAAGAACTTCTTCAAAAAAAGAAAGAAAAGTTGAACTTCCAACAAAAGCTGAACTTCAAATTCCGTTACGAGTCTCGGCGTTTGGGAACTTTTCTATTTCACTCTATAACTCGATTTTCAATGATCAGATCGACTTGAGGCTGGTTTTAAAATGATTCTCATTAAATTTGGTTATAAAAAAGTACAATTTATTTTGTATACTCATGTATAAGAAGACAGAGAAAATTTGTGTCAAAGTTGGACTTCCTACCCGAAAAAGTCGACCAACTTAGATGGTCTATAACTCGAGGTATAGAAGCTGAATGAACTTTGGGTTGCTTTTAATGAAATCTTCATTAAATTTGGTTATAGAAAGGTACAATTTATTTTGTATACTCATGTATAAGAAGATAGAGAAAATTTGTGTCAAAGTTGAACTTCCAAATTCCGTTGAGAGTCTCGGAGTTTGGGGACCCTTCCAAATTCCGTTACGATTTTTTTTGTTCAATTGCGCACTCCAAAGTTTTCGTGATGCCGCACAAAATGAAACCGCAGCAATTCTCGTATTCAATTCAATTGTATTTTAAAGTAAATATTCATTTTGAGAGTACAGGGTGCGTCATAATTATTGCAACAAGATACTCAAGGCATTGCACACCATGAAGTTTCACTGGAAGAAGATTTTTAAACAGAAATAGCTTTATTTAACAGTAACAAATAAGGAAACAAGAGATCATTCGATATGATCGCCTTTTGCCTTGATAACAGCCCTTAATCGGTTCGGATATGCCTCCACTGCGGTCCGAATGTCATTTTGAGGAGTCGCCTTCCATCCTTTGGTCAAAGACTTCTTCAAACAATCCAAACTTGTGTGTTTTCGAGAGCAGACATTAGCCTCTAAGATTGCCCAAATGGAAAAGTCCATCACATTGAGATCCGGTGCGTTTGGAGGCCATTCATCCTTGGTGATCACTGAGGGAAAGTTGGCCACACACCAGTCCTGAACCGTCTTCTTCGTGTGAGCGGGAGGCAATTAGGCAAGAATAAAGAAGATAGAACGCAACACAACAAAAAAGGGGGCAAAAAAAATAAGAAAGCTGTTTGGAAAACGGTCTTTGAACTCTTGTTGCAATAACTATGACGCACCCTGTATATTAAGAATGAGAATTACTTTTTTATCTAGGTTTTATCTAGATTTTATCTAGCTTTTTGGCCTACAAACTATACGTGATCAGTACTTCAATGTACAAGCACTGCTAGCTGCAAATCTTTCATGGTCTCCGATAATTTTGAAAATTAACCCATCATTTCAATTACGACGAGCTGAGCTTTTATTCAACATTTGTCATTTGTTTTTTCTTTTATAATTATTTGTAAAAACAAAACCATCTGCCATATGCAAAAATTTGAAACTCACAATCGTTGGCAAGTGTTCCTCAAATCCCTCGTCCTCAAATAGCTCATTTTGGTGCTTTTTCGGCGAATCTTTTCGCGATTTTGAAGGAATCTAAAGTATTTTCTAATCTAGAATCTATTTTTTCAATAACTTACAATTTCTTCTGTAATCGGCTCAGATTTTGGCCGGGAAACACTCGGCTTTTCACCGCGTCTCGGCTCCCGCGGAATTGTGGGTTTCTAAATTTTGCAAGTTAACGCTTTTTGGCTTGCTTTTATTCTATGATATCAGTTTTTTTAAATTCTGTAAATATTTTCAAGTTTGCTGATTTTCCTCAATCCTCTCAAAAAAGCACCTCGTCTCCTGTGTAAAAGTTGAAATTGAGAACAACTTGCGGTGAGGCGGCGGGCAAATTCGAGTGATCGTTGCGAAAAATTCTGAAAATCGGTATTGATCAAGAAAGAAATGCTATGATTAATATGAAGAAATGCTAAAGATTTATCAAAAATTTTATCCAAATATTCAACTGTCACCTGATTAAACTCTTGAAACAGAGGGTTTCCTCGGGATTCGGGCGAGGCCCGCCAACCAGCGGCACTGAAAAGAGGTTGAGTGTTACAAAGTGGGCAAGGCTATGCTCAGCATAATGGATTCAATACCATAGTGGTTGAATTCCCCCAAATCTCAGCAAAATCATTACAACAAACAATGAAATGTTGTAAAAAAACTCATTCAAACTCATTGAAAAAGATAGGTAATCCTTTGAAATAAACGGGTTTCAAATTGATTAAAGTTTGATCATTGAAAATCGGCAAAAAAGAGCCGATTTTCGTCAATTTTCAATTATTTTTTCTTAGCGCTGGTTAAAGTTTAAAATCTGTGCTATATCTCAAAATATCACGCATTTTCTCTACTTTAATATGATACTCAAGTACGCAGAAACCGAGATACTGATGGCGAGATATGAGCGTTTAGTTGAGAGTAAACTTTGGACCACGTGACACTCCTAAAGGGCGGCCGTTCTATTAGATTTTTAGTTTGATAGTTTTAGTTTTATAGTGCGCGCTTTGATATCAAATTAAAGTAGAGAGAATGGGTGATTTTTTTTATATATAACACATATTTTTATCATTAACCAGTGCTTAAAAAAATGATTGAAAAGTGGCAAAAAAAAAGCCGATTTTCGTCAATTTTCAAACATTTTTTTCTAAGCGCTGGTTAATGCTAAAAATATGTGTTATAGCTCAAAAAATCACCTATTTTCTCTACTTTAATTTGATACCTAAACGTGCCGCAACAAACGCACTGTTGTCGAGATATGAGCGCCTGGTTGAGAGTAAACCTAGACTACAAGACGCTCCTATAGAGGGCTTCTATTAGTTTTTACGGTGGATAAATAAATTGTATAGACAATACAAACATGCTCAATCACTGTAAACAGCAATTTTTGTACAAAATCTTATTGTTATCTCTATTTTTTTAAGATATTTTTGCATCCTCACCCATCACAGATTGGTGTCCACTCTCGAATTTCTCGTTTCCAAACGGTTTCCACGCGCCCCAGCAAAGGAGAACACTTTGCGTGAATTGAATCGAACCCTGCAAGTATTTGAGTTGATATTTTAAGGTATTAAGATTGTACATTAAATACTCAAGATTGTACATTAAATAAAGTAAGTATTGAATTTTTTTTATGGTATTTAGTTTCATAGTTCCATTAGCACATCTTAAATAACAAATCAAGTCTTAATTCTAGGCTGTCTATAACCCTCGAAGAGCATTGAGAGCTGATCAAAAAAAACTCTGATGATTCAATCTTGAAGGCTCGATTTTTTGGTAAAAACAGTTTTCAAAAATAGCCATTCTACGCGTTTCTATAAGCGTCTGGAGTCTTTCAAAAATAGCCATTCTACGCGTTTCTATAAGCGATCTATAAGCCTAACCTTGTAGTCTGTAGTGTCCCATGTCTAGTACGAATTGACTGTCGTTAGACCATTTCCAAATATTCTTTGTATTCTGAAGTTAGATTCTTATTGACGTGCGGTTTTAAGGGATTGGCGCGAAAGTGTATTAAGGTATTAAGCAATTTCAGATTTTCTTCCGAATTGCTAATTTTAAAACACGGAATTTTTTCGAGATTACTAATAAATAAAAAAAAATCGCTGCTTAAGCCTGCTTCTAACTGACATCATTTCCACGAATTCCCATCAAATAGTCGAGAGCAAAAACGATCGCCAAGCGGCTGTCGGCGACCACTTTTGGAATCGAGATCTTCGTTGGGACGTACAAAATGGAACTCGGATCAACCCTGAAAGAAATCTTTGTGATTCTTCTAGAAAATCCGGATCTTTTTTTGACGTTTTTGGACGTCAAAAAAGCCGGACCCTTGAGAAGGACCAAATATTTCATTGCTTTAATTAGTTATAGCCATAAAACCTAACTCCTATAGTGTTCGGCTCAGATTTTATAAAATTAGCTTTAGCCAAAGCTTTGCTAAAGATTTGATGAATGCGTTAAAAGGAAATGAACATTCCAGAATTTCTAAAATCAAACTTTGCCCTAACTACTCACTAGACATTGAAAAATTCCAAACCCGAACCTAATTTCATCTTCGTTTTCTCGGCCGCTTCTTGGCCGATTCCTCTGAAATTTTGTCTACAGATAGAAATCGAAATTTTCAACTTGTAGACAAAATTTCAGAGCAATCGGTCAAGAAACGAAGAAAAACGAAGGGGGAATCAGGTTCGGATTGAAATTTTCCCATACCTACTACTCACCTAGACGTTCTCCTGCTCGGACTCTTGCTTCTTCTTCTCATCGAATGCGGATTCCCCGGCTCTTGTGGTTCCCAATTCGACAAATGCACAACCAACGGATTCCCAAGAAACGAGAAACCGTTGTGCACTCCGACCTGGAAATTCAAACCACATTTAAACATTGATTTTAACTATTCTTGATTGCAATTTTATCACCAAATCAACTTATTGTCAGCTATTCTTGCAAAATTTTCACCGCACTCATCGAAATTGTTTGTAAGGTGGAAATTTCCGCCCTACAAACAATGATTTTATAAATTTTCAATTCAATTAACAATTTTCAAAAGTTAGACAAAACAATTTCGCCTTTACGAAAGAATATTTACTTTTAGCAAAGATTTAAATTGTTTTAGGCGCCCAATCGAAAGTGTATGTTTCAATTTTTTTCGTGTCTGTCGAGCAAAGAAAAATCTAATCTTGCACAAGGCCTCTTCTCATCGACCAGTTCAAAAATGTGATTTCCTTTTTTCTTTTTAAAATTCCACTCACTCGAAGCCGCCGCTCGAGCACGTGCATTTGTGGGATTGGCTCTTTGCCGGGCAGGAAATTCTCTCTGAAAGCTTTTGATTTTTAAAACCATGCAATTATTTTCTAAACCTGTACAATCTATCAACATTAATCGAATCCAATAGCCCTTTCTCAATTGAATCTCCGTGTTGACCGAAAGAAATTGTGACATCGTCGAGAAAAGTCGGAATCGGCGGCAGTAAATGAGGAGATGCGAGTTGAGGGGCTGAAAAGGCAAAAATTCGACGAATTGGGAACTTTTTATGTTTCTTGTATTGATATTGATGACTTTGAGCCTTTTCGCAGACTTGGAATATTCGGTTCTGATTCGAGAGCCGATTCGGACCGATTCTGGTCGATTCGGACCGACTCTGGTCGATCCGGGGCCAATTCTGACCGATTCAGACCCAATTCTGGCCGATTCAGACCCAATTCTACCGATTCGGACCCAATCCTGACCGAATCGGACCCAATTCTACCGATTCGGACCCAATTCTGACCGAATCGGACCCATTTCTGGCCGATTCGGACCCAATTCTACCGATTCGGACCCAATCCTGACCGAATCGGACCCAATTCTACCGATTCGGACCCAATCCTGACCGAATCGGACCCAATTCTACCGATTCGGACCCAATTCTGACCGAATCGGACCCATTTCTGGCCGATTCGGACCCAATTCTACCGATTCGGACCCAATCCTGACCGAATCGGACCCAATTCTACCGATTCGGACCCAATCCTGACCGAATCGGACCCAATTCTACCGATTCGGACCCAATTCTGACCAAATCGGACCCAATTCTACCGATTCGGACCCAATTCTGACCGATTCGGACCGACCCTGGTCGATCCGGGGCCAATTCTGACCGATTCAGACCCAATTCTGGCCTATTCAGACCCAATTCTGACCGATTCAGACCCAATTCTGGTCAATTCAGACCCAATTCATGATCTTCTAACTGTTGATCTCTTTTCTATAAGATTTCCTGAATCATTTGATTATTTAGTATATCAATAATCTGTTCTGAAATCTATGAAATTCTTCATTTTGTTGATTTTCGCACCAATTTCGTTCACATATGCATTGATTTTGAAAACTCAAACTCAATAATTGACCAATACCAAACTGAAACTAGGCTCGTCAACGTTGAAGATCGTATTTTCATTTCCTATTCCTCACCATTCTCAAATTCATCCAAGCCAGGCACATCGTCCATACCACCGATTATCGCAAATTCCTCAATAAAATCACTGCACGAGAGCAATTTCGAGTGCACAAGTAGAGTGCATTGAATGGCACCTGACACAGGGTTATTTCAAATAGTTAAAACCATAACCATTCAACAGCTAATAATCCAAAGACTTGACTTGACCTCTGGCTTAACCTCTGGGCAGGCTAGGCAAAAGTCAAGCGAAAATCAAAAATCTTTGACTCAAAAGTGCTAAGAGCTTACAATTAGCATTTCAGTTTTAAATTAGAATATAATAGTCTCTATTTGTAGCTAATATTCAATCTTAATCTCAGGTAGATAAAGCTTTGAAAGTCTATTTTGAGATTGAAGAGCAAATGGGGCTAAAGTAGTCAGTGATCACTAAATTATAAACCATAAAAGAATAAATAAAGCAAATCAATTACGGTGTTTTTGAGGCTTAAGCTTTTGTTTCAAATTTTTGACGCGTTTATTGAAAAAGACCATTTCTAATCAATGAGTTCATGGTCGGATTTATTTATTAGATTGTCTAGAAAGTCTTTTCGTTCCTTTTCGTACTTCCGTTTACCAATAAAAACCAATAAATGCACCAATTGAATTATGGTTTGTTTCATTAAAAAGGCCAATCATTTTTCTGCAAACTAACATTAAAAAAGGTTCAAATTGTCTTATGGCTTGATTTTTTATGGAAGCGTAAAGTCGAGTAGTCAAAAAGACAGCTGGGTAGTCGAAAAGACAGCTCGATGATGCGTTTTAGATACTTTAGCTAAGGTAATCTATCTTCGGGTCAATAGATAAAAAATAGAGTAGAAAAAGTTTTGTATATAGTCAAATTTTCAGAGAAATTCATTCGGGCAATTTCTTCGTAGAGGTTTTTATCGATTTTTTTATGAAAAACACGTTTTTCACTCGAATTTTTGCTTGAAAGTGATTGAAAGTGATCACTAGAAAGGCCATTAGAAAGGCCATTTTTCTGCAAACTAACATTAAAACAGGTTCAAATTGTCTTATGGCTTGATTTTTTATGGAAGCCTAAACTCGGGTAGTCAAAAAGACAGCTCGATGATGCGTTTTAGATACTTTAGCTAAGGTAATCTATCTTCGGGCCATAAGATAAAAGTTAGAGCACAAAAAATTTGATAAATAGCCTAATTTTCAGAGAAATTCATTCAGCCAATTTCTCTGTAGAAGTTTTTATAGATCTTTGCGAAAAACACGATTTTCCCTTTCGAATTTGTTTGAAAATGAACCCAAATTGACTTAAAAAGATGGAAAATTCAACAATAAACACTTTTTATATAGAGGAAATCATAGGTTAATTTGGTAAATCTGTTATTTTACAACGAAAGTACGAAAAGGAAAAGAAAAAGACGCTCTGGACAGCGTAAAATTGGGTTCAAAGTATGAAATGGCGCCGACTTTCAAAGAAACTTCTATAACAACGAGTAATCTTTATCAAATACTTTTAAATACTTTGAATTTGAGCAAATCATGGGTTAAATTGATGAATTTGTTATTTTAAAACGGAAGTACGAAAAGGAACAAAAAGACTTGGCAGCCTAATACTTGAAAAGATTCTAATCTACTAAAATTCAATACAAAATTCAAAAATGCTGATTGAAAATGGATTTTAAGAAGTAATTGTAATATCTCGAAGAGTCTGAACAGTCTAGTATGTCACCTGTCATTGCCTGGGTTTCTTTTTCGATGTTACTCGTGTAGACCAATGCCTTTGGTGTGCCCGGGTAAAGCCGGAGTCTGTAATGGTGAAAATGTTGGAAAGCGAAAGGTTTATTTAATAATGTACTTATTTAATCAGTTGTTATTCTCCAAAAAAACCTTTAAATAAGACTGACAAAGTTTGTGGCAAAAAAGAAAACTGTCAGTGCATTTAAAGTGTCAGTGCATTTAAAGTGTCAGTGCATTTAAAGTGTCAGTGCATTTAAAGTGTCAGTGCATTTAAAGTGTCAGTGCATTTAAAGTGTCAGTGCATTTAAAGTGTCAGTGCATTTAAAGTGTCAGTGCATTTAAAGTGTCAGTGCATTTAAAGTGTCAGTGCATTTAAAGTGTCAGTGCATTTAAAGTGTCAGTGCATTTAAAGTGTCAGTGCATTTAAAGTGTCAGTGCATTTAAAGTGTCAGTGCAATCTTATAAAAGGATTTTTATGAACAAATTTCTAGACCAACTTTGATTTCTAGACCAATTTTGAATCAATTTGAATTTTCTGAATCAATATTCTGACTCTGAAATTGCTTATTGATTACAAATTGAGTTGCCTTGAAGCTTCTATTTTTCAATTTCATTCAGCACAATTCTCTTTTTACAATTTAACCTTTCAATAGCCTTTTTTCACTGTTGCACCTGGTTTTCTGCAAATTTCGGCGATTTGTCGAGTATTCTTGCAAGGCTTGTTGATGTGAGTTAATTATTTGAATCGTCCATCCAACCGTCATCTGATCACTCGGATCTTTCGGAGAAACCTGAGAAATCGAAATTCTTGGCTGTTTATCATTCTCAACAATCACTCACTTCGATCAACTCAAAAACCAGAAACACTTCTTCGCCGAGAATTGAACAATGGAAGAAGAGTTCCTGGAAAATCTTTATTTAGAATCTATATGGTTTCTAACATCTTGTTTCAATTTTGTCTAACTTGCTAGAATTTTATGTGTAATTCGTTCTTGAAACTTTTTAAAAACAACCTAATCTTGCTAAAAAGCCACAAAGTCAAATTCTAGCTCGAGTACTCAGACCTAGCTCAGGCCAGAAGCAGGCCTAGCTCCAAAGAAACAAGCCTAGCTCTAAAGAAGCAGGCCTAGCTCCAAAGAAACAAGCCTAGCTCTAAAGAAACAGGTCTAGCTCCAAAGAAACAGGAGGTACCTATCTCTGCCATAGTTTGCCACCGTAATCTTTCTGATGCTAGGTCAGCTCAGCTCTTGGCACAAGTAGTTTTTGGCCAAGATAAGAGTCAGAGTCGAGGTTCAGCTTTGAAACTTTCTACCTCAGTAAGGCATAAAACCCATCCCCCTTGGCAATGGAATACGTGCCAGTGTAGCTCATTGATAGAGCGTTTGCCGATAAACGAGAGGTTGCGGATTCGAATTTCGAGTTCGACCATGTCTTCCTAGCAGACCCATAAAAAGAACCGTTCAACTCCTCAGCGCTCACCTCATTGAACCGTATGACTCCCTCAAACGCCGGCACAGCCCTCGTTCGATAGGGACGACCAAAAAATTGCCGAATTCTCGTATCAAAAAAGTACACTTGAAGATAATAAGGACAGCCTGGTTGAGCCTAAAATGAGCAATTAGCTTATTTTGGTGCGTTGTTGGCAAGACCGTAGCCAGGATTTCAGTATTCTTGAGAGAAATCGCTAGAGCTTCTTCCAGAAGAGCTAGAGCTTCCCAAATGAATCAATTTACACCCAAGGAAGAAAATTTAGCAAAATCTTCAGCCTACATCATGACTACAATGCAATTTCTCTAAAATAAAATGAAATGAAAATTTGGACGACTTTCTTTTTTGCGCCCCTGCCCAAGTTTGAGCCTTTCTAGCTAGCTTCACAGGCTTTAAATCGAATTTTTAGCTCACGTGTCCTATGTAAATCGATACGGAGAATCGATTGGCGACGGTTAGAAGTTTCCTGGATAACGGCTAAGGGTCTAGGATTGCAAGGTAGTCTAGGATCAAGGTTTTCCTTAATTTTTACATGGCTAGTTTTTGAATGATAGATTCTATGCTTTCCAATGTGTGAGCTAAAAGCATAGCATCAGAAAAGACATTTCGTCTTTAATACTATCTAAATAGGAAGAAAAGATGAAAAAAAACCTCTCTAAAACCCATAAAACATCATTTTCAAGACAACTTTGTTTTCTTTCCTTTTTTTTTTTTTGCTTAGTTTTAGTACTGGTTATGTGGTTTTTTAAAAGAATTCTTTGAAAGTGCATATTAAGCTTTGAATTTGCTTGAATTTTAATCTAAAACTCACTCCATTAAGCTGGATCTCGTCGAGAATCACGGCGAATCCCTCGGGTGTGCCCAATTCAAAATCGTGTGCTCTTCGCGGGGGAATTAAACGATTCTCGAGGAATTCCTGATACCATTCGTTGACCGAATGAATTTTTCCTTGATTTGACATCTTTTACATTGCCTGGAAAGAGTGAAATGATAGAATCTTAGAGTTTTTTTTCAATATAATTTGTTAGAATAGGTGAAAAGTAGTTTAGTAAAAGATTGAGTTTTAAAACAGAGAAATAAGACGGTTCTATGTGGTATAATTATAATAAATGATATTAAATTGTTTGAAGAGGATTATCCCAAACAAATATAAGTGTAGAATTAGTTTTAAAATGAAACCATGGGTGCTTGGGAAAGACAATCGAGCTTGGGAAAGACACCAATCGAGCGCACCCATATCTCCATGGAAACACTGGGGAAAAGAGGGAAAGAGTTCCCTCTTTTCCCCAGTTTTTCCATGGAGATATGGGTGTTCCACACGGTGATGATTGGGAAAAGAAAGAAAAAAAGCAGAGAAGAGATGGTTGAGAATAAGGATTAGCATAGAGGTTGGACTTTGAAATCAACTTACAACCAGCTGGTAATTGGAGAAAATTGATTTCATTATACAAAAGTTTCAAAGTCTCAACTTCTAGATGACTGCTAGATGACTTCAAAGTCATCAATTACATGTTCAGCATCAATTACAAGTTTCTCAATTCAATTAAACCAATTAAACCAATCTGACAAGGAAAGCCACCAAATCAAACTGGTAAACGTGGGATAAATCATGGAAAATCACCTGAATTAAATTGAAGAATCACTTGAATTTCCATTGACATTGAAAATCACCTTGAATTTTGAGCTCCTTATGAGGCTGTCACACGCTTCCTCAAAAACTGTTTCAATGGTCCAGTGGTTCGTCTGCTAGACTACTTTTACTGCTAGACTTTTTGCCGAGAGTGGGACTCGAACTTGAGACCGAAAAATGTAATAGGCTTGGTAGTCTAGCAAAAAAATAGGCTTCGTAGTCTAGCAGAATCTTAGATCACCGAAGCAGTTGTTAGTAGTGAAGAAGAATGGATTAGGCGGATATACGAAGAAGTTTGCGCTTTCTCGCATCAACGCTCTGTTTTGGTGATTTGTGAGACGGTTGAGGGTGTGAACTTTGTTGAGAAGAGACTGACAGCGGAAGGATTGAATATTTTTGCATACAGGAGGGAACACGAGAAGTTCACCGTTGCAGATAAGCCTCTATTGACTGGAAAAGTGATTGTGGCTACAAATTTGGCTGGAAGGGGCACGGATATCAAGATTTCAGATGCTCTGAGAGATGCGGGTGGTCTGCACATCTGTCTAACATATCTACCATCAAATAAACGAGTTGAAGAGCAAGCCTTTGGGAGGGCAGCCAGATCGGGTGACCCGGGAAGTGGGAGACTGGTGATCTTGAAAGATTACACCAATGTGCCCGTGACTCATCATCGAATGATGGCAATCAAAGTGGAGAGGGACAGCGATGAGTTGAAACGGATCGTTGAAATCAAGGAGCACTACGAGAAGCGGATTCTCGCCGAGGAGTACTGCTTCGAGGAGTTCAACAAACTCTATCAGGCACAGGCTGGCAAGTTCCAAAAGGTTCCCGTCGATAAAGTGAACCTCTTGGAGAACCTCATTGATCAATGGGCGTTGTGGTTGGACAAGTGGAAGCAGATCATTAACAACGATGGAAATGCGGAAGAATACAAGAAACAGTTAGCGCTTTTCGTGAAACAAGCCAGGAAATTCCTGACGAAGAGAACATTCATCTTGATGCCGCACTTGGTCCGACTTGCAAGGAACCACATTGAGCAGAAGAGCTACGGCAATGCAATCGGTGCTCTCAATCATGTGATTAACTTTGAGCCCCAATTCTCCGAGACAGCCCACTACTATAAAGCCTATGCAATTGGGAAGAGTTTCAATTGGGAATTCAATCGAAGCAAATCAAACAGAGTTGTTGAGGAATTGGAGATAGCCAAGAAAATGTTCGAAAAGCTTTCCGATTCCCAATTGCAATATTCAGCAATTGTGACCAAGATGAAGGCGAACTTCGAGTCCGTCGGAATCATTCAGATCACTTCTTATGAAGAGCAAAAGCAGGGCATCGTTGACATCTATGGCCAGTTCATCTCAGCAATTGATGAGGCAATCGGATCAGCTGCTAGTTCGGAGTCTTTCCACAAGGGAATCATAAACGAAGAGATGAGCTCAACGTTGTACGATTTGTTCTATGGAAAGAAAGTTCTACTCCCAATGAAGACCTTAAGACCGGATGACCTAAAAGAGATTGAAAGAGTTGCTCGAGAATTCGGGATTCCCCTCGAAACGCTTACAACATTTTTACAAAAGGGTTATCAAGGAGATGCAATTCAGATCGAGAAAGCTTTGCGTGAACACATTCCTCTGCCAAATCGAGACGATTTTTGGGATGAGCTGTTGAGTAACAGATGGTTGATAAAGCCGAAGACCTTTGTGGTGTTGGACAAGGAGAAATTCTTTCAAGAATACCCATTGCTCATTTCAGATAAAGATTTTATTGGTAATTCACGGGAATTGAAGAAGTTCAAAGAAGAGATCAGTGGATCAGATCTCGTTTTGAAGACTCTAGAGCCATTGAATGAGATGCTCGAGACCAGCAAGGTCTTCGAAAAAGAGGCTTTCATAGAATCGCGCAAAAAAGAAAGTCGTGCCAATATTTCATTTTATTTCATTTTAGAGAAATTTCATGATAGTCATGATGTAGGCTGAAGATTTTGTTAAATTTTCATTTCAGTTAAATCATTTTTTTTGACGCGCCACGGACGTTTGATTTCTTCAAATTAACTTTAAATTCGGAAAATTCGCATATTATTACCCTAGGACATTTAGTTTTCTAAAACGAAATTGACTTTGAACAACTTTCGGATACGATTCTTTTAAGGGTGTCACGGTTTTGCTCTGACACTTTGTCAATTTTAGACTCTGATTTCCCACCGTGAAATCGCTTGAAAAACTTTTGTTTTTTTGAAGCTATTTCTTTGATTTATGGCTTATTTTATATATAATATACTTTATTCAGTTGAATAGCGACAAAACAAAATGACAATAATTACCCAGGACACCACTCAAAACACACCCAAAAGATAAATAGATACCTCGAGAAAGAATCACAGAGCAGTCAGATCAGTTGCAGAAATTGCGGCTTTAAATCTAGTTAAGGTGGGAATATCACGAACATGGGGGGGTAAAAGGTTCCAGAATTTAATAACTCGATTAAAAAGAAACTGTGGGGGCTTTTAGAGGAAACCGAAGGTTGGCGTATGAGAAAAGGCCCCCTTCTGGAGGCGCCCCGTAGAGAGCCGAATTCAAAGAAGCCAGAAAAGAGGGGGTCGGGATGCCTTTAACAATCTTAAAGCATTCCACTAAATCGATGATAAGGCGGCGTTGGTGTAACTTTTCAAGACCAAAGAGTTGCAATCTATCAGAATAACTAAAGGAGGGGAATTTGTCAAAATTCATTTTATAAAGAGCAATTCTGGTGAAGTGCCTCTGAACACGTTCTATTTTTTGAAAAAGATTTAGTAGGGAAGGAGACCAAATCAACGAAGCGTATTCAAGAATAGGGCGGACATAGGCAACAAAACACATCCGATTAGTTTTGATGTTAGGTATGGTAATAGACCTGAGGATACGGTTAGCACTTACGGAGGCCTTATTACACATGGATTCAATGTGAAAACGGAAACTAAGAGGAGGGCTAATAAGGACTCCCAAATCACGCAGATATTCATTTTTTTCTACCAAACGAATAGGATGATTATCGAGGGTTAAAGGAAGAGAAGATTTGCCAGTGGAAAAATGCTGAGATTTAATCCCCAAGTTTTAGACCAGTTTACAATTAGTTGGAGGTCTTGATCAATCATTCGAAAGTATTCAGATTTTGAAACAAAATCTTTGCAAAAGGGAATTTTAAATGTGACCTTTACGTCGTCGGCGAAAAGCCAAAGAGAAATGTCCTTGGAAAAGAATTTTAAGCTAGGGAGATCATTAATAAAAATAGTAAAAAGAAGAGGGTCTAAGATAGACCCCTGAGGGACACCGCTGGAACAAGGCAAAGAATTGGAGAGGGAATTAAGAACTAAAACTTTGAATCGCCGGCTTTCAAGAAAGTTCATAATACAATTTACAATCGATGGATTAATTTGTTACGCTGACAGTTTGACTTTGAGACGAGAATGGGAAACGGTATCAAAAGCCTTCGCATAATCTAAGAAGACAGCTTCAAGCTGGACTTTATGATTTTGCTCAATGGCGTCAATAAAGTTTCTATAAGCAAGAATAAGGTTCGACACAGTTGACTTATTTTTTAGGAAACCGAATTGAGATGAGGAGAGTAATTTGTGCGTTTGGAAATGGGAGATAATCTTGTCTTTCAAAATAGTTTCGAAGAGTTTAGAAACAGGAGAAGTAAGACTAATCGGACGGTAATTAGAGAAAACATTTTTTGGTAAGGTTTTATTGATGGGGACGACCAAAGATTCCTTCCAAATTGAGGGGGCCTTGCCTTGTAGGAGAATCTTGTTAAACATCTTGCGAAGGGGAGAGATGAGGATTCTAGAGAGTTTGTTTAGAAAAAATGGAGAAATCCCATCTGGACTGGTGGTTTTCTTTGGCTTTAAGTTTCTAAAAGCTTTCTCGACATCCATAGGAAGAATCATAAAGTCTGGTTGAAGTGGGACGGTTTTACTAAGAGAAAAAAGTGGACTGGGAGAGTTTAAGTTAGAAAACGTAGAATGAAAGAATTTGGCAAATTCGTTCGCAATGGTTTTAGGATCAGAGATAAAGGATGATGAAGAATCTAAAAACCGTTTTGGCAGAGTAGCGCGATCCTTAGATTTAGAGTTTATATAAGAATAGAAACGTTTGGGGTCACCAGAATTTATTGCCCTTCTTTCAACATTCGCTTCGAATCTTTTACAGAAGCGTGAGAGGGTTTTTTGAGTCTTGAGAAATAAAGGATCCTCGGAGGGATTTTGATGAGAAGACAACGATAAAATGCGATCTATCTTGGATTTAGCTCATAGAATGTGATTTGGAAGAGAGCAAGGGGTGTGGGAGCAA